CTTCTCCATTTCTTAATGAGATTTAAAGAATCCTCGGAGGAGGAGAGAGCTCTTCCCGAACTCCAGTAACCTCGCCTGAAGTTGGCCCTTGAGCCTTGAGTACCGCAAACCTGTCTCTCCACTTCTGCCTGGATGGCTTCCCAAGGTGTGGGCCCGGGATCTCTGGAGCTCGGCCCTGGAATTCCAGCCCCATCTCCTGGCTCTCTCCATCTAGGAGCCCCTCTGAAGTTCGGCTCTGGCAGGGCCTTTGTGTAGTAAGATGTTGGCACTAAGAAGCCTGTATGTTCTACCCTTCTCCAGAAAACAGGACAAGAGCCTCTTTTCCTTTCTGATGGCTACCCGGGTGTGAGGTTTTTAGGACCCCAATTCTTGAAAGAGTTTAGGAGGGACTCAGAAACTCTTGGAATACCTCTGACTTCCCCTACATCATGGTTCATATTTTGCTTAGGTTCCTACTATATATTCACATAAGAAAAACGTTGAGGATGGCAGGAAGGAGGGAGGAAAGCGTGGGCATCTGCTATAGTCCATGCGTTTTACATACGTTATCTCATTTGGTCTCCAGCAGTCTTTCTGGTAGTAGCTACCATTCCCATTTCACAGATGAGGAAACTGAGGCACAGAGCCACTAAGTAACTTGTGTAAGGAAATACAGGGAGCAAGTGGGAGGGTTGGATTTGGACTCAGAGTCTGGTTTTAAAGACTACCATTTTCCAACTAAACCTTAGCTGCCTTTCCTGAGGTTCTTGCCATTTCTCTTTAGGGAGCGAGGGAGGAGGAAGTGGTTTGGACCAGACTCCTGGAAAACAGTAGTCATCACATAATGAGGCAAGCAGTCCAGAACCCTGAAGGGGCGGGACTGAGGAGGCGGCATGGGAGCCCTGGCGGGCTAACTGCTAGTGTTGAAGACCAGCTGTTAAGACAGGCAAGGAATGGGGCTGGAGGCTGGGTGCTGGTTATTGGGAAAGAAGTATGGCTAACCAGGCTCCCTGTTCCCGTGACCCCTGCCCCCAGGCGTCACAAAATCATATTTACACATGGTCTTCTCCTTCCTCTGCCAGTAAACACGGCATCCATGAGGCTGTTTACAGCTTCCTAAATTAATTCTATCACCAGTCTGGCCTAAATGGTGAGTGTATCTTCACTTCCTCATCTACAAACTCTCCCTGTGGTTTCTGGAAGCCTCCTTTGGCTCCACCAGGCACAGTGCTGGTGTGCTGACCTCGTTTGCAGCATTTAGAGAGGATCTCTTGACTTCAGTAGATTCAATTTACCAAACTTCTGACAAAAGGCAACAAAGCATGTTAAGCCAGACTTTGGACAGAGCCGAGCTCCCTTCCAGGTTCCACCACTTTCTGTGTGTGTAGCTTGGGGACCATAATTAACCTGTCTGCATGCCAGGTGCCTCACCTATTGAAAATGGGATAAGAATTCTCCTTCATGGGTTGTAGGGAAGACTCAAAGATGTGCAAACCCAGGCATTCATAATCGCTCAGTAGGTGGTGAGTTCTGATGCTATCAATGATCTTCGCGTGTTGGAGCTACAGAGCCAAATTCTGCCCTCAAGAGGCTCACCGTCTCATGCAAGACACAGGCCCATGGGCCAATTAATGAGATGGCAATGTAAGACCTGCTTTATGGACATGTGGACAAGGTAAAGAGGCGGCACTGAGTGGAGGAAATGGCCCCAGCCTGGATAGGGGTGGGGTGAGACAACTTCCTGGAGGTCATGATTGAAGCCGGAGGCGGAGCCCCACCTCTGGTTAATCTGCAGCCACTACTTGAATGGCCCAGGCTTCAGCCAGGCTGCCCGCTAATCTGCTTCCTGGACTCCTTGCTCGTCGGCCTTGCTTTGATAGCAAAAAGCACTTCTGTTAAAATCAAAGGGCTTCCCCACAAGGAACCTTGGATTCTGAAATGTTCTGGTTCCAGGCACTCTGGGTTAACAGCAACACACAATTAAAAGCTGGTTAGAGTTTGGAAAACTGGAGACGATGGGGAAGGGAAGAGTTCAGTGCCTACGGTGTGTGTGTGGGAGATGAATTAATATTCAGATAGGAATTAATGTTTCTGAGGACCTAACATGTGCCAGGCACTGCCATGTGTTTATCACTTCCTTTAATTCCCATAGTGACCCTATGAAGGTCGTCTTGTTTTACAGATGAGAAACTGAGACTCAAAGTGTTTGAGATACGTGAGCTGGATTGCACAGGAGACTGGTAGAGTCACGATGAAAACTCAGGTTTGTCTAATTCCAGAGCACATGTTCTTTCCACTGTACCATGCCATCTCCCCAACATGTATTTACACAGGATCCTGCTCCTTCCTTTGCCAACAAATGGCATTTATGAAGTTGTTTATGGTTTTCTACATTAATGCTATTGCCAATGTGGCCAAATGGCATAAATGTGAGAGATGCCCTTGAGCATAAGAATCTTTCAATACATCTGTCACAGATTAATTGTACTAATGGCCCTGATCTCAATGTACAATGGCCTCCTTGTAGCCACGCTTTTTGCAATGTGACTTTGTAGCTCCTCCCATTAAGAGATGGGAGCTATTTCACTTCCTTCAAATCTGGGCTGCTCTTGTGACTTGCCTTGGCCAATAGTATATGGTGGAATGATAGAGTGCCTGTTCTTGGCCTAGGCCTCAAGAATCCTTGAGAGCATCTGTTGTCACTAGGAACTCTGTCAGGTCTCGATTAGGCAGCTGGGGGTATGTGAGGGACAAATAGAAAGAGACTCCAGTCATCCTAGCCATCCCAGACGAAGCCATCATAGACTTTAGCTGACCTGCTTGTTAACCACGGTCATGCTCAGCTGAGCCCTGCTCAGATCAGCAGAAGCACCCAGTGAATGGGTAGACTCATGAGAAATAATAAATATTTGTTGTATTAAGCTATGTTTTGGAGTGGCTTTTAATATATCAATAGTTACCCGGTATAACTAAAAAGTAATTTTCTTCTTAATTAGAGGTCAATGAAGCCAAGACATTTATTGTTTCATTTATTAGTCAGAACTCTGGTTTGGACTGATTGCTCCCCAGATCTGCTGGACAGCTGTCATCTCGGGATCTCCCTTTATCATCATTTTAGGAATTCCCTTTACTTTGCTTTCTGAATCTCACAGCTTCCCCTGTCCTGGTAACTCCCTTGTTTTGCTGGAGTACATCCTTTGGGAGTTGCCTGAGAATGGGTGAATAGGTTTGGAGGCAATGCACGTCTGAAATGTCTTCGTTCTATCCTTACACTTAATTTGAGGTTTAGCTCAATTAGAGTTCTGGCTGGGAGACGTTTCCCTCAGAATTTTGAAGGCACTGTTTTAGAGTCTTCTATCTTCCCATGTGGCTGTTGAGAAGTCTGATTCTATTCTGATTCTTGAACCTCTCTATGACATCAATTTCTCCTCTCTAGAAGCTTATAGGAGACTCTTTGCCCTGATTGTCATGAATTTTGGAGATGATGTGCCTTAGTGTGGTTCTGTTTTCATCCACTGTGCTAAGCACTCACTTGGTCCTTTTAGTCTGGATACTCATGTTCTTCACTTCTGGGGAATTTTCTTGATTTATTTCTCAGGTGATTTCTCTCTCTTCATTTTCTGTTTTCTCTTTCTGCACTCCTATTATTTGCACGTTAGAGTCCCTAGAATTTTTCTCTCCTTTTCCTATCTTTTCTCCTCTGCTTCCACGGCTCTGTCTTTGTTCCATATTCTGGGATATTTCTTCAACTTTATTTTCCAAACCTTCTATTGAGTTTATTTTTTAACTTCTGCTTTCATGTTTAAATTTTAAAGAGCTTCTTTTGTAAGGTGTTGTCTGATGGTGCCTTTTGACCTCAGCATTGTGTTTTTGTTTCCTAGACACACTGTCTCCTCTTATCTTACCAAGAGTATTAAAGATCTTTTTTTTCCTTAAGTTTTCTTCCCTGTGAATTGTCTCTGCTTCTCATGTGTGAGACTGAGCCACAGAGAGCTGATTAAGAGCCCTGAGGACCTCATGGGGCTTGAGATGTGATCTCAGCTGTAGATTGCTTTGCTGGGCCATTTCCTTGGGGAACTGTCATATTAGTATCTTTAGGGTCTTCTCTCAGTTTTATCAGATTCTCCAGAAAGACTGAGCTTCTGCGTGGAGGATATATGCTTGGCTGCCTGGCATTCTGGGAGCCAAGTTGGGGAGAAGCCTAGGGAGTCTCAACATTCCATATGTGTGGTTTCACTCATCACCATGGTTTTTCTAACATCAGCGGTGTATGCCTAGTTGCCCCTCAGACAGAGGCTCTCTCCAGGGAGTAAACTTCCAGTCTTTTGCTGGGATTGGGAAAAACAGTCACTGAGTACTTAGAGTCTGGAAGGAGGGCTGGGGTTCTATCTGCTTCGTAAACAGACTTTAAACCCATCCTCCTAATTTTGGCCCTGCCTTCTCCCCAACATCCAGAGGTAGCTAATGCTGCCAATTCCTGAGCCACTGGGGGATTCTGATACGCAAATCTGGTTGCTTCTCAACTTTCCCTGCTGCTGGCTTAGGATTCAGCTTTTCCAAATTTTCTCAGTCAGTTACCAATTCAGATTTTTGTTGCTATTGTATCATTTTCCATTCTCTCAGACTCATTGATTTATGCCTTTTTGGGATATCTCTCTATTGTCTTCTTAGAGGCTTAGCTGAGGGAATGCAGCTGAGTATGTTCACTCTTCTCTCTTTAACTGAAGGCCTGAAGTAGTTCTTGGCTTTTGAAGAACTAACACTTTATGGTATCTCACTTAGTTTGAAACATGTGGATCACACCCCTCCAATGGAAAATTAAGCTTTCTCCAAAAGAAGACCCCTAAGTGATAGAAAACCATGTAATTATTTCTTTTAGAAAAAATGAGTGTGAAGCTTCAGCCATCTCACAAACCTTTAACCTTGTGCATCGAAATTACCCAGCCAGCCAGATAATCACAGTTGCCCCCTCCCAGCCGCTCACTCCCCCTTAAATTAGAGATCCTGAGTCCATTTGCTTCCCTTTAGCCTTTTAATATTTTCCAAGAAGTGCTTTGAACTGGGCAATATACATGTCATGCTTTCCTGATTATTACCAGTCCATCAATAAATATACAAAAATCAGAGGATGGATGTGCTGTAGAAAGTCAAAGTAACAATGGTCATTATACATCACGAACAATGAGCTATTCTTTGAAAATTCAACCAATGATTTACAAAAAGGAATATCTATGACATAAAGGTGAAAGGACAAGGTTATTCTTATCTTTCAGTACATTTTACTCTTCTAGAGAAGTCAGAGGTTTCCTTTCTCCTACTCCTCTGCTGTACCAGCATTGCATGAACATTGGCTTATGAAACCGATTCTAGGTGGCATGGTCTCAATGTAACACTTTTGGAGAAGTGCTGCTGGAGAAATCCATTCTGCCAAGATAGAATCTGCAAAATATGGATATGAAGGTGTCTTTGCCCCATTTTAGTTTTCACCTAGTGCTAATGTAAAGGAAGCCCCCAGAAGACACAAAAGATTTATAATTATAGGAAAAATTGCATCTTAAGCTCTCAGCTTTGCAAAATTCTCAGCTTTGTTCTCTTAAACTTTGCCAAATAATGAAATACTGACCCCTTACTTTTACAGACAAGACCCAGTTTAATGACGTAGCCCAGGTCACCTGGCAAGTCACCGGTAGGAATGACATAGTCAGGTTGTGCTTCCGAAGTAACGCCATTATTTCAAGTGAGAGAGAATACATCCTATTCCATGAACTTCAGGTAGTATTGCATGGGTTTTGCAGTCAAGGATGGAAGCTCTATACCTCCCCTATTCCTATCTTGAGAGCACAGAGGTGTATGTAAGTAAGGCACTGCAACTATAAAAGGAAATATCATATTTAATTCCAAAATAAGATAGAAAACATCTCAGCCTATTCGTTGGGAATGTCTAAAGGGGTGGAAATCATCGAAACTTGCATGACTATCTATGGCCCCAAAGAGAATCTGGGGGACCCGTAGAGCCTGGGATAGCCTGCCTCAACCTGGTCCCGGAGTGGCTTGTTGCATCCGGGTCACAGAGCCTGAGTGAGCCTGTCTGGGCCTACAGCAGACCCAGGAAAGCTCTTGGAAAGCAGGGACCAGTTTGACACTGGTGGCAGTAACAACAGAGTGGCCTGATAGCCATTTTCTTTTCTTTCGACTTGAAAATGAAAAGAAAACCAGACAGCTGAGTATGGAACCGGCCAAAGATGTTCACAGAAAAAGAGAAAGGAAGTTTCAAAGACCATGGCAGCAGGGAGGGTGTGAGGGTGGATAGGGGAGAGCAGAGGTTGGGAACCAATGCAGAAAGTGAGCACTTCTCCTTTAAATATATCCTTCAGAATCAACTCTTGTATAAGCCCAGCCCTGGTTTATGTGGCAGCTTTTTTTCCTTTTTCTTCTTCCTCTTTCTTTTATCTGAGAACATTGTCAGTTAAGCATATTAATTTAGGCAACAGATAACTTTTTATGGGAAGCAAAGGAAGGAGGTTGCATTTTATAGGATCCCTAACTTTGTATTTTCAACATCCTCTATTATAAGTAGCCTTGGAAGTTCCAGGACCAATGGGGCCTCTTGGACTTATGAACAGAGACCACAAAGGACTTTCCAAGTGGGGGATAAAGGCATTCTTCTCTTATTTGGACATAAACCTGCCTATCTGGTGATAAGATTCCAACAGTAGGAAGCCCTGTAACCTTTGAGGGATTCCCCAGCACTTAACTTATCCTGAGTAGCGACCACATGAGGGACAGACAACTGGCTTGCTAAAGTATAAACAAAGACAGCCATAAAAATACCCAACCAGGATCTACATTCGTCCCGCCCCCTTTACCAACCTGTGCCAATCAGTTGACTACTGATTTTGCTTTGTTTCCTTTCCATCGGAGCCTCCTTTTACTACAAGAAGTCAAGAGGCACTTCCATATTGTTTGTGGACATCACTAATAGGGTCAGGATCTATGAGACGGGACCCCACAAATGGTAGGTCATGCAAAGGTAATGTGACTTTCACAGCCCTTCAGGGGAGAGAACAAGTGGCTATTAAAACATAAAAGCAGCTGAAGCTCCTCCTTCACGATTCTGGTTCTAGGACAACAGGACAGAAAGCCTTTGGGGCCTCAGAAACAAAATAGTGCTGTCTTCCTTGATCTTCTAGGAGATTTGGTTGAGTGAGCCAGAGTCGGGGTTAGTGGCTCTAAGATGAAGACTTTCAAGGAGGACCATTCTCACATCTTCCTGATGAGCTGTTGGGCCCCAGACCTTACTGGCTAAGAGGCTGAAGGATCAGAGCACAAAGGGTTAAGGTGGAAGAAGTGCAGGAGTTTATAATCAGCTGAGACCCTTTTATGCCTCTGACAATGTAACGAAAAAAAATCATACTGATCAAAGGACCTCCAGGGTTTAATATTTCAAAAACACAGATAAATAGCTTACTGCAGATAAATAGCTTCACCCTTTTGGGTATCTCCCAGAAGCATTGGAAAAATTTCCAGGGGGTTTGTAGAAGGGGATGTGTAACCGGTACACCCCAATCTCCCAGCCCACTGGAAAGCAATGTCCAGGGATTGGGCTGCTGGAGGAGCAATACAGACCCATTCAAATTTCCTCCCAGGGACCAAGCCTTCTCAGCCCTGGAGAATGTCCTTAGCAGATGGCTGTCATCTGGGTAGACAGGTGGAGAGAAGTTTGGGGGTCGGGAAGATGTATTTGTGGCTTTTGTTAAAAGCCATGGATAGAACACCCCAGGGGGTAAGAGGTTTCTAAGTGGGAACTGGAACCGTCGAATTCTTACTGATTATTAATTGGGCGCTCATTTCAGAAAGCAATGTTGTTGCTATAAATTGAACCTGACTTTAAAAAACAAAACACAAAAAACAAAAAGGAGTAGAAAATTTTATGTTAAAAAAAGATCCCGAATGAAGCAGTCAGTAGCACATCACATCTGTGAAATGTCCCAGCCCCCTGTGACTGCTCTCTCTGACTGTGGTTTCTTCCCAAGGTCAAGGTGCAGGTGCTACACCCCAATCTTCATGTCCACATTCTGCAGGTTCCGTGTCTCGTCGGCTGTCATAAACTGGTCTTGGGTCTCTGACGACTCCTTGTTCACCAAGTGCACCATCTCCTGAGACCTGCTGGCCTCTCCATTGAGCCCACTTGCCTTTCTGTCGTCCACAGCTCCATTGCCATTGTTGATCACCAGCTTCTTCTTCTGTCCACACCTAATAATGTAAAAAGTCACATGAGAAAGGGGTGCAACGACGCAATTGTCATTGTCATCGCCATCATCATCACTACGGTTTATGATGGTCTTAGTATGTTTCATCTCACTGACTCCTAACAATTGGCACTTCTCAAAGGGAGGTCCCTGGACCCAGCAGCAAAAGCCTCCCTTGTGAACTTGTTAGAAACGCAAATTCTCAGCCCCACTCTAGACGAACTGAATCAGAAAACTCTAGGACAGGGTCCAGCACCTGCGGTTTAACAAGCCCCCAAGGGGCTTCCGATGCACATTTGAGTTTGAGAATCAGTGGTCACAACTCTGGGAAGCCAGTGCTGTTATAACCCCCCAGCACAGGTGAAGAAACTTGGGGGCTCAAAAAATTCAGTAACTTGCCCCTGTTCCTCAGCTCGTAATAAAAGAATCAGGATTCACCCTCTGGTGTGTCCGACTCCCAAGTTGTGATGCTTCTTCCCCGTGCCCCGTCACGGGAACGTGTGCCTCACTTCAGCACGTTAGCAGTTTCTCCAGTCATGGCTAAGCCATCAGCACAACAACTATAAATCACTCTGATCTGTGTATTCAAGAAAGTCTCATTACGTCCTCTCCCAGTCAAGACTTTGTTGGCCTTGTCAGAGTTGTTACTTCACGTTCTGAGAAGAATGAAACCATATTTTTCTGGAAGTCGAAGGCCATATTGATTTTTCCCTAACATTGGTTAACTTCCACCTAACTGTGGAGACAGGAGGTTTAACATGAGACAAGCTGTTCATTGTTACTTTAAGGTTGCTTGGTAGCATTACTTAAGATTCAAATGCAGGAGAAGATTTCTATGGAAGAGCATGACCTTGATCTTGTCCCCGGGTCACAGCACTGTCATAGTGTCGCCTTGCCCCACGCGGCCTGATGTAAAGTTTCCTCCTTCCTGCAACATGATCACTGCTACATGTCTAGAAGTCGGATTATGCTTAACGGAAGCAAAAGGGCAGAGCCACACAGCTCCCAGAGGGGTGGGGAAGACCGGCGTGGGCCTTCTGAATGCCAGACACTTCGCATGTAATTTCACGTAAGCCTCACAACCCTGCCAGGCAGCTAGTATGCCCATCGCACAGCAGTGGAACTGGAGGTCCAGAGAGGTTTAACAACTTGCTTGAAGTCACACAGCTAGTAAGACAAACAAAGTCACATTCAAATCTAGGCCTTTATGACTGAAAGGCTGGGCTCTGCCCGGCTCTCTGCACGCTGCCAACCATCTGTGGATTGGGAAACAGCACGAAGTCGGAACTGTTCGCTTTGCCGCTGGATATTTGGAGTTGCAGAGACAAAGCCTCTATTATTCATGATCATGGGCCATTCCCTCTACGACTGCCAAGGCCATAAACTTTAATCTCTTGTTTGGGGAAAGAGAAATTATACCTCCTGAACAGGTGGCAGATCCTGTCTCCTGCGGCATCGTGCTTGATGAGGGGTGGAGGGAGGGATGCTTGAACCGCGGAGCAGAGCCGGGGGGCTGGGAATGTATATGGATGCAGTCCATATAGATAAGAGCAGGGGCTTGGAAGGTCTGGTTTTGAGACCTTACTGCTGTGTGACCTGGGGCAACTCACTCAACCGCTCTGAGCCTCAGTTCTCTTATCTGTAACATCAGGCTGTTAAGAGTACCAATTTCACAGGACTGTGGAAAGCTCTGGAAACAGAGCCTGGCACTGGACACACAAGTCTATTATTGTGATTATTTGTTGCTCTCAGGATGTGGGATGAGGAAATCAAGGCCTTGGATAAGGACTCAGAACAGTGTCTGGAACACAGTCGATGTTCGAGAAGCTCTGGCTGTAATTCCTTAACACAATGAGAGCCACAAGAAATTGGGGGGGTTTGCTTGTTTCTTCTGGCTGCCTCTATCTGCCCTGCTGTGTCTGCTATGAAGAGGACCTCAAGGCTGCAGGTGGAACTTCTCGTATCACGTCCGGTCCTCAGCTGTGTCTCAGCCGGTCTTCAGAGGGAAGGCGTCTTCCTAAAGTCACGCCCATCTTCTACCTAATGAGCGGTTTAGAAGTGGAATGAAATATTGTGGGAAAGTGATTTACAAGCGTAGAAACATGTCTGCGCACGGGGGCGAGGCGGGGCTTAGCGTCATCAGTCTGGACGAAGCTGATTTTGAAAGCGGAACACACTCGACCTGCGGGGGCTGGGTGGACCGCGCTTGGGCCTCGTCCTGCCCGTCTGTCTCTTTGGGTTTATGCGTGTCTGTTACCCGAGTTCTTTTGGGAGGGTAGGATGAGTCTGAGAAATAACTCAGTCCACTCTTTAGGGCTCCAGGCATCGGAGAAGTACTTTTGAAACACAAGTTCTAATTTTTTCATTCTTCTTAGTTATGGGAACTTTAAGAACACCATTAGAGCTGAGGGGACTTCAGAGGTCACCCAGCCTAAGCTCTTCATTCTGTAAACCGGAGACTGAGTCCAAGAAGGCAAGGCTAGCGACCGAAGGCACGCCGCTGGCTAGGGCAGCACCTACACAGTACCGACAACTTCAATTCTCTGAGTCCTCGTCAGAGACCTCCACCCCACTGCATCTTGCCTTTACCTCCTTTCCCCTTCAACCTCAGGCCTTAGCTGAGCGTACAGTGACCACACAGCGTGGAAGGAGCCAGACTGGAGCCCGGCCGGGAGAAGGCGGGCTAGCTGGCTGGGGCTTAGAAAGCAGGTGACGTGTGTCTAGGGTGTGGAGGCTTTATCTGGAAAGACTTGGGGATGGGGGTAACTCAACAGCTGATCTTCTGCCTTTCCCAGCTGACAACCCTTAGAGATGTTTGGAGATTTATTTTGCACTGTGTTGTACGGTAGCCACTAGACACAGGTGACTATTTAAAATTAAATAAAATTAAAAACTCACTTCTTAAGTCAAAGTAGCCACATTTTTTTTCTTCTTCTCCCCAAAGCCCCCCAGTACATAGTTGTATATTCTAGTTGTAGGTCCTTCTAGCTGTGGCATGTGGGACGCCGTCTCGTGAGCAGTGCCATATCCGCGCCCAGGATCCAAACCAGCGAAAGCCTGGGCCACCAAAGGGGAGCGCGCAAACTTAACCACTCGGCCACGGGGCAGCCCCCAAAGTAGCCATAGTCTGAGTGCAAAGTAGCCACAAGTGGTTAGTGGCTGTGTATTAGCACAGACGTAGAACATTTCCAGCATTGCAGAAAGTTCTGCTGGACGGCTCTGTTGTAGCCGGCAGAAGGAGGTCGGTGAGCATAGATTACGGTGAGCCAGCCTGCAGCTTAAGAACAGGAAGACATTTCTAAATCACGGAGCTTGACAGAGGGGCCAACCAAGTGGAGGGTGGATGACTGCCTGCCTGGGTTTACAGGAAAGACGATTACTCCCACGAGAGAGAAAGCTGGGGAACGTCTCTTCTGCACAATCCATGTAGAAACATCTTTAATCATTCCTGTTTTTTGAAGCCTTCTCTGGTGAGGTCCTCACATTTTTTCTCCTCTTCATCACACAAATCAAATAAAATCTTTAAAGGAAAGGCACCTAGCTTCTTCTCTTGGGCCTCATCCAATATTTACCAACACAACGGACTCCTAAAATAACTGTTTGCCCTTAAGGAGGGTGAATAAAGTACGATTTCTGTTGGGAAGCTGCAATTCAAGGACTCTGGTTATATGAAGGACAGCAAGGAAAGATGATGCGAGTTACGACAGAAACGGGAAAAGCGCAAGAAATAACAGGACCCCCAAATCAGCATCTCTAAGATGGGATGACTCACAGATCATTTCGTCATGGAAGCCCCTGGTCCACCCTTGAACCTCAACTTCAGCAACAAATGCTCTTCCATTTTTATCTTTTAATCATAATTCACATAATAGTGCCTGGCACAGAGTATGTGCTCAATAAATACTAGCTGACTCAAATTCAATAAGCCAAGACTGCCACTTCTTCTCAAGATTCTCTTAGAGAAGGGATGGTCCTTGTCGTTTTTAATCTTCTCTTCCTCCTCCTCAGTGCCAACAGTCATAGCAGCCACTCAGAAGATGTTTACTGAGTAAATGAAGGCCTGTCATAGGTCCCTATTTTCAACCAAACTTTCTTGGACGAAAATAGGATTCTGTATCTCTCTAAAATGTAACGCTCAAAGCAGAAAGGCCCCAGCCTTTTAAGAGGATTAGAAATGGGCTGGCGGCTTTAGCGACACAGTACACATTAAGGGGCCTGCACAGTCATTGGGCTACGTGGCAAGTCTGTTTGCGACGATCACATCAGGACATGGTGACTCACGGCGTCCCGGCAGCTGCTCTCCCGGTGGGAGACTCGCTGTGCTGGATCCCATGTGGCCCTGTCTGCCTGTTGCCGGGGTGACTTGTGGCTGGTCTCGGGACAAGGGGGAGGGCAGCAGTGGGGCCCGTTTTTGCTGCTGACATGCTAGGGAGGAACACGTGAGCTAACTAGCCACGCTGCACGGACTCCAGCTGCATCCTCCTGGGGATAGCTGAGCGGCTTCTCCAAGGTCCCCCATGTCAATGGCACTGGGGCCAACGTTTCTATGGCGACTTATGCAAAACTTATGGACTGTGTATGTGAGCAGCAGTGGTGTGTTCTAGGGCCTGGAACAAAAGGACTGATTCCCAACAATAGGAAATTCATATTTAATTGAGCAGAAGTAATCTAAGAGAAAACAAGGAGGCCGAGGGAAAGTGTAGACTCTTTGTAAGGGTTCCCTCGAGACACACCATTTAAACCCAGCTAAACCCGTCCCTTCCCATTTGCTCATGACAGACTTCCAGGAGGCCTTTCAGACTTCTTTTCCTGGTTTTTGTTCCTTATACAATCGGCTATGATGACTAATTTTTTTTTCTAATGCCCTCCAAGATACAGATAGCAGCATAGCTATCTGACTGTACTGGAGTCTCTTCATTAACCTGTCCCGGTGTAAACGGCATCGTTTGATCCTCCGATCAGCACAGAGACAGCATGGGCTGCGCGCAGCAGTGCGATTCGCTGTTTGCTGCTTTCCAAAAGCCGACCAGAAAGAAACTATAATCTTCTCCAGGTCCTCTCCCAAACCGAGGGCCTTTTCCAGCCTGTTAGGCGATCTCGTGAGACAATAAAGGTGGCCCCACTTGGAAATACATTTCTTTTACCTTATAAGAAGAAATCTGAAGGGACATTTATGAAAGGTTTAATGTTACTCCACATCTGCTCAGAGAAGAACAGTGCACCTTGAAAGCACCTGGAGCAGGAAATTTAGACAGACTTTTGGAGCACCCCGGCAAAGTGTGCTTCCTCTGTTGCTAGAATTACTCGTTTCCTTCACCTGGCTTTCGGTAGTGGTGTTTCTGGAGGCTGTCACAGCTCAACTAGGTATAGCCATCATTTCAATAACTTCCAGGCCTTGGTTGAGGGAGGCAGGGACACGAAAATAGCCCACACGCAGATGTCGGGAGTTGACTGTCTATTCAGACTTTCCTAAGGAAAGTTCATCGTTTCATGGATCTCACTGTCAGGCAGCTCTTCCTACGTCCTAACCTGAATCCTTTCAACTGCAGCTTCCAGAAAATAGAAAATAGTGTCATTACAAAAAGCAAACAACGAGCAGACACACGAACCCAATGCTTGCTTTAGGTAAGGGTTCTAGAAGGTTCCACGGGCCTTAGGCTAAAGAGGATGACCAATCCTTGAATCTTTATGCCGTGTTTTTCTGCATTGTGAACGCACTTAGTAAGTATTTGTTTAATGAATCAATGACTGAGCGTATACTTTTATGCCTTCCCGGTGAGATGGTTCATAACTGTCATCAGATAGGGTCTCCGTGGGTTTAATCCCAAAGATATTAGGAATCACAAAAGATTCAACCACTATTTAAAAGCAGTGATCCAAACAGTCACAGTATCTCCTTCGTGTAAAGAACACGCCAGAGCAGGGCTTGCTGCACTCTACTGTGCACACGAATCTCTGGGATCGTGTCAAAGCACAGGCTGGGACACAGGACGGCTGGGGCAGGGCCTGCGACTCCGCATGGCTAACTAGCTCCCAGAGTGCCGACGCTGCTGGTTCCAGGGGCTGCACTCTGAGTAGCAAGGACACAGAGACTAAGTTTAACCCATGCTCTTTCGAAGTCGAAGGTCCGGAGGTTCGTCGACTTCTTACCTTCTTCGACTGTTGACAGCAATGCAAACTGCGAGAATCAGAGCCAGGGCCAGGAGGGACGCCAAGATGATCAGCCATTCTGGCGTGAGGGAAGAGACCAAAAGACACCATGAGCTCGGGAAAGACACTTTGTTAAAGCAAAAATGCGCTCTATAAATTGGCCTGGTCCAAGCAAGAGCCACAGTCAGCACCACGATGAGTCTGACCAAATGGCCGGCCAACAGGCAGATCACGCTGGAAGAAAGACTTTGCTACAGGTGTTAGTCCAACAGGCCTCTTGTTTTAATCTCTTATCATCAGTCAGGATTTTCAAGTCCCTCTAGAAGGAACAGGTTTCCAAAAAAGTATAGAATAACCTGTTGAACTTGTGGATGCCTTTGGTGCAATATTATTAAACAGACTAAAGGAAATTTATGCTTCCCTTGAAGGAACATTCCTTTTCTGTATAAGAGTATCCACCTTACGTTTTATTAAGAAACAAAAATGGAGGCCACATACAAGAAGGTGTGAAAAAGGACACTCCTGTCGGGGGGCTGAACCTGATGCACATTCTCTGGGGAGTCATTTGGCAAAATTTGTCAAAAGCCCTCAAAATGTTCATGCCTTCGGTCCAGCAGTTAGACTTCTAGGAATTACGACCTGAGAATCTGCTATGAAGATGTTCACTGCTGTACTGTCTAGAATAGTAAAATTGAAAACAACCTAATATCCAATAGTAAGGGATTGGTTAAATAAATCAGGGCATATTCATTGCATTGTGTACTCCGATACAGGGAAGGACATTTAATGACATTGGAACCAGTTGGGAATGGTAGTTTACTAAACAGCATGGATGGTATAATTACATTTTTGTATATAAATGACACTGACAAATGATAGGAAGGGCATATATAAAAACAGTAACACTGGTATTTCTGGATGGTGAGTTAGATAATAAGCAATTTATATTCTTGCCCTTTTGTTTAGCTGTATTTTCTAAAGTGTCTCCAAAAATCATAGGTCATTTGTGGACTGCTAAAAGGTTGTATTACATGTTTTAAAATCAAGCTTTAATAGGATCAAAATATGACTTGACAACATAAATAAAGTCTCTTGCCTAATTTCTCTTGCCAAGTGGGCAGTAAATGTGTGCGATAAGTGAGAGTTTGAGACACAAGGAAGATGGGGAGTCCTTCATTGCCCACTCCTCTTTGAGAGCCTCGGTTTCCTCCGATTTCCTGCTCAATATCCTGCCTCTGCCCAACCTTTACCTCGTTAGGCTAGTTGGCGGAGGGAGGAAGAGTCCGGAGGTGAGGGGGCCGCCACGAGGGTATCATTTCTGTTCTTTCTCCTGGACTCCAGCCCTGAGATGCCTCACATTCATTCTCACTGGAGCTGGGCAGGATCCTACTTCCTGCTTATAGCTATTTGCCTCTCACCCACCCGCTCCTCCCTGGCAGCCCCCTCCCTCTCTCCTTGTGCCCATGCTCTGCCTTCAGCTGCGCTCAGGCAAGCGAGGTCGCATGACGTTCTTCCCTCTCCCAAAGGGAGGCTCAGTTTGAGACCTCTGCAGGGGGAAGAGTTGAAAGGGTAATTTATAACCCTAGGAAAGCCCTTCTTTTTTTTTTTGTAATCCCCTTTTACAAATGCTCAATTTTGAGCCTAAGTCAAATAAAGAATTTGCCTCAAATGCCTTAAATCTTGATGCTCAGGAGAGCCAGGTGCCTCAGCACTCGCATGCACATGTGACAATTTCTGAAACTTCCTTCTGTCTGGATCAGCGAAGACTGTCCCTTGAGAAAAAGTAGTTTGGGAACCGGAAGAATGTTTTCACTCCACCCAACACACATGGCCCCTGCATGCCCTCACTATCTACAATGTGAGAGGAAAGTTACAGACTGCACCCCAAACCCAGAAACGAAGGGGAAACTGGACTGCGATAGGAAGAACCTGGGTGTGACATGGAGTCCCCTGGGCCATCACTCGTCTGGGAAGGAAGCTGCAGCAACTAACATGGCACTGCTCTGGGACAGGCCAGGGACAGGTCTGACTGTGAGCTCAGCCAGTCTATGGGACCGAGGGAAAAAAAGTTCCATCCTTTCCTACCCAGAGGCTGTAGTGCTCTCACTCATCCTTTAGCTTGCAGAGAGGAGCCAATCAGATCCAAGGGTTGGAGACTTAGGAGAATGTGCTTTTGAACCGGTCTCTTCTTCCTTTCTGGGACATTCAGAGAAATCTGGTCTGGCATCTTTTTTTTTTTGCTTCACATCTTAAAACTCACCTGGAATTTGAGGTCTCCGTATGGGACCCGAGGTTGTGCTTGCCCCACCTTCTTGACTCCCAGTCGAGTGTCCTAAGGGAAAAACGACATCTCTCAACTGAAGCCTGGAACGCGTGACCACCAGTTCCTCACAGAGCAGCCCACGGGGGCAGCCTCGACGGCCGGCATCGCCGTGGAGCTATTCACAGACCCAAGCCACAGGCGGTCACAACGTGTTACACCAAAGACATCGCTCCGGAAGAGTCCGGTCTGATTCAGGCTAAGGTTTGGAAACATTATTTTTCATCAAGAACATGAGGACTCTCCCCAGCAGGATTGTCCAGTGTGTAAGACCTTGGGCTCTAGAGCAGGACAGCCCTGGACTCAAGTCCCACCTCTGCCTCTTGCCGGCAATGTGCACGGGCTCAAGTCAACCCTCCCAGGCTCAGTTTTCTCGCTCGTCAAATGGGGTAATAATAGAATCCACTTCATCATAATTTGATGGAGGTTTAAAGAAGCACGCAATCATGGTAACTGTGTGTAGTTGTTATGCTCTACTGTTAATTCAGGATCTCGCTACTCAAAGTGTGGTCCCTGGACCAGCAGCGTAGGCAACACGTGGGGGCTTGGTAGGAATACAGATTCTCAGTGCTCGCCGCAAGCCTACTGCATCAGAATCTTCATTTATCAAGATCTCTAGGAGACTGATATGCTCCAGAAAGTCCAAAGCAAGTCTAAAAATCACATCCAATATCATCTTAGAAGTGAACATAAATATTACAAAATAAAGACTTGGAGGCCATGGCCCTTTCTATGAAAAATCATCTTACTAGAGTCCCTGCTAATATATTACTGAAACACACCTTGTTTTTAGAAGGCTGAACACTTTCTACCGCCACAAAACAAAATAAGGAAACAAACAAAGAGTCTCAAACTGGAAGGAAGCATCAAAAGACAGAGACTCCACCAATTAGAACAGGAGGTTCACTGAAAGGAGGGAGGTGTCACGTTTTAAAACAAGCTTCTAAGAAATCTGGCGAAGAGACTCACCCAAATGAAAGCTTTGGTTTTTGTGTTTTTTATGCTTCTTCCACTGCTTCAAAACAAAATTTGAAAATTCCCACTAATAGGAACTCTTTTTTCCCTACCAAATGGGAATCCACTGCAGAATCCGGAAGGCCTCCAAGGGAAGAAAAAACCCAGGGACGTCTTTTGGGCCAACCAATGGATGAAGATGGCTGGGCCTTAAGTGAAAAGCTTTCCTCGGAGAGTCGAACTGTGGACTGTGCATAGTGGACACTGAAATCTTGATTATGGTCGTTATTTTGATAGGATGGCTCCTGTTCACGCAATTTGATGTTTTTTTTAAAACTCAGAATGGAGCAAGGCAAGTTCTTACCAGATATCCTGACATTTCAACATACCTCATGCCATTTTGACAGTGGCTTTTCACTTTACAAACTTCAGAAGGAGTCTATGGCGCTTTTTCTAGCTGCCTCCCAGAGTCCTTGGTCATGGGCAGGTGCTCACCTGCACAGGTCATGGGATACTGGCCATCTAAACTGGAAGTCTTTGGCTTCGAAAACCACCAGAGAGTACAGTCATTCTCGCTAGCCCTTCTCTGACTCAGAGCAGCCTTTGATATTTGAAAGGGAGGTCATTAATGGATCATCTCTTTATTGTGATTTTCAAAAAAAGCCCTCCCAGCAAGGAAAGATCTGGGTGTGTGTAACCAGATGAAAACTCCTGTTTGAACAATAGACACCTGCACAGGAGTCAAACAAAAGAGACCGCTCCTGCCCACCTGATTCTCACTTCAAGTGAAAGGCGAGGAACATGGACGAGACGCAGCAGGCCCCATCTTGCGCCCTAGAAGTCTGCAAATCTAGCCAGGGTAGGGCTGGCCAGGAAAGCAAGTGCTACAAAGAGGGACACTTGACCCTGCAGTTAGGGGATGAGGTCCAATCTGAAAGGTGTGCATGGAGACAATTCAATTGGCTTCAACTGTGAGAAAAACAGTCTCGGACAGTGCTTCTCAAACTTCCCTGTGTAAACAAGCCACCTCGTGAAAGGGGAAGAGGGTTGGTGAAAATGCAGATCTTGATTCAGGAGGTCTGAACGGCTGGGTCCTCTGCATTTCCAACCAGCTCCCAGAGGATGTCGCTGCTGCTGGTCCAGGGACCACACTCGGAGTAGCTGAGGTCTCCTGATTTTAGACAGCATTGCCTTTTAGTAACAATTCCCTAGCTTTTCCAAAATACTTTCATATTCCTGATACCTCATGTTCTTCACAGGAACTCCAGGAGGTACTTGAGTCCGGTGTTCTGATCTCCTTTTTACTAGCAAGGAAACTGAGGCTGGGAAAGGTTAAATGCCCCACCCAGGCCCCTAGAGAGCCTGTGACTTCTGTCTTTATTTTAGAAGCATTTCTAATGAGCCCCCACACCCCGGGGCTCTTCCCTAAAAGGCTATGACTGAAGCTACCTTGTAAATACCCATCTTTATATTTGCTTTGTGTGTGAAGCGTTAAGCCTGAAGGCAACCCCGGCCCTGACTGAGGGCAGGAAGAGGAGGACAGTAGTTCCCGCTGATCACCTGGCTTGCCTGGGGGCCCGGACCGACAATGCCTGGGGCGACCGACAATGCCTGGGGCGACCGTGGCAATACCAGGTGGTCTAGACGGGCTCTGGAGTTGGCAGGCCCTTTCAGTGGCCCCGGGATCAGGGGCACATGGAAACCTGCCTCAAGTCAAACTTTTGCTGCCTGGAGTAATGTTTCCAGGAGTGTGATCCAGTCACAGCAAGCAGAAACCCATTTAATAACGCATGCCTGGCAGGAATTCTGGTCATCACAGACGGCTTGCTCCAGGTCACGCTTACAAGAGGCAATATGAGACCCCCAGCCTCAAAACCTGGCTTCACCACCCAACTCATTAGTTCTGTCAACTCAGCCAAGTTACTTAGCCTCTCTGAGCCTTAGTTTCCTCATCTGTAATATGGGAATAATAACAGTACTGCAGGATCGTAGGGTGATTAAATGAGTTAATAATAGATGAAAACCAGGAAATGGCTGATATCTGTTGACGTGCAGAAACGGCAGTTTCATAGGGTCCAACCTAGTACACGTAAAGTGTTTAGAACAATGCCACTGATGCGCAGTAAATTCTCAATAAATGCTGGCTATTCTGCCATGTGCTGGGGGTGGGCGAAATGCTTTACGTGTATTCTGCCATTTAGACTTTAAAACAATGCCCGGTGAAAATTACTACTATTTCAATTTTATTGGTTAGGAAATGGAGTCTCAGATCCTTTAAGCAATGTCCCCATTTAGTATGTGAAGTTGCTGGGATCAAATCCAAGCCATTCTTACTCAAAAACCCATGATCTTAACCACTCTGTTAGTGCCATGTTGAGACCCTGCTTGAATCTTGCTGATCTTCTCATATGAAAGAATTTTCTCCAAAGCAGGAGATTCTCAAAGGATAGTCTAGGTCCCAGCAGCATGAGCATCACCAGGGAACTTGGGAGAAACACAAATGGTCAGGCTCCACCCCAGACCTACCGCATCAGAACTTTACGGACAGGGCCCAGCAATATGATGTCGTAAGCCCTCTGTGTGACTGTGAAGCATGCTAAGAAAGTTGGAGAACCACTTTTGTAGAGAGAGACTCATACTTCACTAATAACCAGCAGGTTCTATGATGATGACAGTAAGTGACTAAAAGAAGTGCAAACTCACCACTTGTTTCAGATCCGTGGGTGGTCTGGGCCCTCCCGCCAGAGGCTCGGTCTTCTGTAAGGAGAATCGGGGAAGGTTTAGTGCGGTGTGCTCTGGTTACACTGTCATCTGCATGTCCCCATGTTTGCATTCTCATACAGCCCATCACAACGTTTAGCCTTTTCAAGGTAGCCGGAAAACAATGGCAAAAGAGCCTTGAATGGGTCCATGATATTAATAAGTGGTCATCACTTAATCCCCTGAGGAGTGGGCTAGAGTTTTAATCAAAATTTAGGAAACTGAGAAAGCACAGACCATCGAGGATGACCATAGGAAGCGTGGCTTTGGTAGAAATCCAATACTGTAACACTCTAAGAAAAATATTACATGTCTTCACAGGTCTGAGGTTGAGACTTGAAGTGTCTTTAAAATAAGGACTATAAGCTTTGGATGATGACAAATGTGATCATAAGGAATGGGTATACTCTGAGGCGTTGGTCACAAGACATTGAAAGAGATTTCTCTGAAGCAGGAAATAGAAAAAGGTTTGGGTGTACAGTAAGAGATCTTGTGGTTGAATTATGTAAAGATTCAAAGAGAAAAGTCAACTGCTTATTTAGAGAAAAAGAACCTGAAAATAAGTGAAAAAGAAACGGGGAGATGATAGCTAACATGAGTAATGTATATCTGGCTACTAAAAAATATTTCAAATAATATTATTTTTCAAAAATTAGATCTGTATTTTCAATCATCTCAAACCTACATCACCACAAAGCTTTAGATTGAGACAAGTTCATGAACTGCTAAAATCTGGATTCACAGGTCAAATCTTGGATTTAGCATACGAAAACTCCCACTTTTCTCCCTTTTCCCTACACATTTTTGAAAACTATACTGGAATCTTAAAACAGAACAGAACAACGGTCTCATCAAATGGCTCTACTCCCCCACTATGAAAGTACCTATAAAAATATACGGTAATCTGATCATCAGCATGTCCCCATTAGAGAAGGTGACCTGTAATCTCTCATGGAATTGTATCGAGGAGACAGATTGCTTTGTTCCTTGGCTGATGGTTAGAATAACTGAAAACAGCATTTGCTGAAATGCCAGCGTAAACACCACCATCACCACAATTCCGAATGTTTTAGTTCCTAATGTTAAGCATAAAGACTGAGAAAAACGTATGGGAAGAAATGAGCCTTATCTGAGTATTTCGGAAGAAAACCAAGGATGACAGTTGGATCACTTACTAACCACCTAATTCATAAAGAACCACGGAAAACCTGTACCGTCATGGAATGCAGAAGGAATCAGCATGTGTGAATATAAATTTTATAGAAAGCATTTTATTTACTAACAAATAGGATATGTAATCCTTCTAGGCTACTATGACTATTAAAATTGCCATTTAAAATTTAAATTCATTAGGTTGCATAAGAGGCCTTTTTTGCCCAGAGAAACTAGGCAGTGCTCTAAGGTTCATTTCTCCAGAAGAATATCAACAATGCTACTTGGAATTTTTAATAACTGAGGGCAAGACCAGGCTGAATAAAGAACCAGAGGGTGTAAGGGGCTTTGTCTTGCCAATACTATGAAGTTAATATTTTTTTAAAACTGTTTTCCTGGAAGCCCAGGGGTGGACAGCCCAGAGGAAAGAGGTCAAGCCTGTGGCATTCTGGGTCTTCTGTCCCCACATCATCAGAGCACCACCACTGGCATCTGTTTTATATATTGGGGTTTCAGAAGACTTATTCTTCTCTTTTTTGTGGGGAGATGGAGTAAAAGGACTTCTGCTACAAAAATATATATATATTTAAAATCACTAATCTTTAATATGCCTTCGTAGTTGAGTGTAAGAAGTACTTGAGTTTCTTAGCCAGAGTAGGTATTTTCCAGTTCCCTTTTCTTCAGTGTTAGTTTCTTAATGCAAATGGTGAAACAAAGAAAAACAGAAGTAGGGAGGATTGCTTATTTGAGAAAAAAGTCTCATTCTCGGTCCACGTCCAACTTAATTGAATAAATCATCTTCAGTCATCTGTTTGCCATTGCAACAAGAGAAATGGTGAATGGCCTAGTCAGTAACAGTAGATTAAATCATAAAGTTTTAAGTGTGCATCATAACTAGAAAAGTTTTATCCACAAGCCCTTCACCGAAAAGTAAAATTCACCAATCCATCACCAATAAAAGATAATAATTTCAGAGCAAAGATAATAGTATATTAAAATTATTCACATGTTGGGTAGAACCTTACTAAATAGACAGCCTGTATTAGTTGAATCAAATGCAGTCACTAGTATTTAACTACTCTGACCTACAAAAACATTGATTTCATATGATTCAACTTAATACACCACAGATCAGGAACAAGACAAAGAAAGAAATTCTACCATAACAACCAAGTCCCACAAATAGATGGAAATTACACTGGTAAATGAAAGCATTATTTATGTAAAATAGATCTAAGTTTACTTGCACTAGAATGATGATGTCTGATGAAAGCCATTCCCACATCACAAAGCATTCTAACCACAGCCTTTACAGAAAATGTCTCCCGCAATATGAGAGTATGTGCTATTTTTCTTACATAGAGACAGCAAACCAGATAACAAGTGGCCAAATTACCTGAAAAGGAACCATCAACATGAGAGTTAGAATCGCCAAGAACAATAACTTCAGTAACTCCTGGGGACCCAGTCTTAGCAGGGGTCACTGGGGTGAGGGTGTTGTATTCCTTTGTGTCTGGGGCATGAGCAGTATAGCCCTCTCCTGAAGTAGCTGAGTCTTCAGAAAAGTTTCCACTTCTTCTTCCACCTCTGCCATCATTCCTATCTGTGTAGAGGTGCAATCGATGGTAAACCCACATTTCCAAGACCACCACCCATTGTAAACTTATCTTCAAAATGTGCAATTGCTGCAAAAGTTTTCCACTTGTTATTTATGAACATGGAGCAAAAGACAGTGCGACATGTTACCCTAGAAACAGAATCAGTATTTTGCAATCGACAACACCTGGACATCACTCAATGGAAGAGATTTCGGTGATCCTAATATCCAGAAAAGGATTGTGTTGCAACATCTGCCTGGGTTACTAAAGCTTTATGACACTACAACTGCAACCTTGAAGTCAACTCGGGTACTAGATAATCTTGAGCTCTCACTCAGTTGGACCCACCTTCAATGAAGTAGAGGAAACACACCATTGAATGGAAAGGTAAAATTACGCTGCATGCAATTGGAATAGCAAATGCAAGCTTTCACAGACCTGAGGCTTTGGTTATTTTTTCCTTTGCTAGAAGGTCACTGTTTCTTAGTCATCATGGATTTATGGTCCAGAGGATAAATGGCAAAATAATATTATTAATGCAAGGAAAACAGTTAGTGATATAATTCAGACCTTTACACCAATTATAAATCATAGATAAGCAATCTGTTATTTTTAAATTAAGCTACTAAGTCTAGAGTTTAAGAAACAATCTTTAAGATTAAGAAATACAGTTTTAACTTAATGTATATGGCTTCTAAAGGTCTACAAAGCAGAAAAATCAGAGAACCATCACCAGCCACACTTTCTGATCAGAAGTAAGAGCATAACAGCAACCAATTGATGTACCTCCACCACAGACACTGGAAAAACACCCACAGTTCACTGATTTTTATCAATAGCTGAAGCCAACTGGGCTTTACAATCCTTACTGCTAGATGATGGAGTAGAAGTCATTGGATGGTCTTTATCTTCTTCCAAGCCTCCATGTGACGTAGAGAAGCTCTGAGTATGACTCTGCTCTGTTTCAATAAGGGATGAATCCAGCGTTAATTCTGAGCCGTGAAACAAATCGCCTGTTATCTGCTGACAGGGAGGATCTAGCTACTGTAGTGTCAGACGGGCAGGGGCGTAGGAATACCGAGGTTTGTGCACACCATTCTCTTCTGACTGAGGATTCTCCAGTTGGCTCCTCAGACCCTTCGCTTCTCAGTATAATCAACAAAGGTAATGCGCCAACATGATCCCTGAGCCAAACTTTGCCCACCCCACATCATCCTGGCCCAACTGTAGTATTTCTTCCAGTTACTCAGGAAAACCAGAGAACATAGAGACAGGGAAAAAGGAATGTTTGAATCCCAGTGTTCCTATCAACAATCGAGAGCCCCTAGCTGTGAGCCAAGAAGTGTGACTGCAGGGAAAATAAACACGACAATAGCAAGTAGTATACTTGTGACCACAAAGAGGAAGAAGCTTATCTAGAAGGACCTGCTCAAGTAACTCCAGATCAACTTCATACAAGGAAATACTTAAGTCCCTTCCAAAGAACATTAAAGTTAATTTTACTCTGTTATTGGGTTTTTGATCTCATCTGTGGATGGGGATTCTCATCACTGCACTGAAACGCCACGAAACGCCTGCCTGGGCAAACACAGAGCCCTCACTGACACACATCAATGTGAGGTTGAACCATTGCCCATATCTGAAATCACTTTGACGGTTTTGAGCTGATTTGCTTTTGCATTCTTCTAAGAAAGGTACTGACGAGTTGCGGGCACAAGCACTCCATAAAGCACACCCATAAGCTGCGTCTACCACCAAGCAGACGTGACAACCAGGAGAGAGGCATTCACCAAATCCCAAACCCAACAGCAGAACGTAAGTCAACAGGGACATAAAATGGAACTATGAGACCTCGCGTTGGCAGGGACCATCTTAGGCTTATCTGCATCTCCTTTGATGCTCAACACACCGCTATTTACATTGGTGATGCTGGCTGATTTTTCCCTTTGCCTAAAAGGGCTCACATGAAGGACTCTGCCCATTATGTGTAGCAAGCAGTGAAATGAGATCCTCTTAATTCTGGATTTCTTTCATGTTCTGCCAAGAAATTATGAATGATTTCAGAGTGATCTCTAGGATAGCCCTGTACAGATAGTGGCCATTAAGGCGCCTAGAAGTTTAGCATTGCTTCTACCAGATGTTTAGTAATAGGAAGAGATATTAGCAAAATGTTCCTGTGTTCCTCTTTTGTTCCTAGGCCTGACACCTTTGTCATTGTCAACAACAGGCCTTGCCCCTCCTCTGTGGGCTGATGCAATTTCTCTATCTTCTATGATTACTGGGCCCAAAAATATCTTTTCACAACCATTAAAGCAATCCTACCCCTCTTCCACCTTGATTGGAGGAAAGATGGGAATCCAAAGGAGATGGTCAGTTAAAAAAAAACATAGAGAAACCACTGCCCTAGCTGTGGCCTTGGGTTTCACTGACATAACCTAGTGAAGGAAAATCCACGGAATGGAGTCCCAAATCCTTTTTTTCCTTAATATAAAGTCATTGGATCTGGGAAGCACCAAGAATGAAGGCAAAATAAGATTTAAAGAATCCCGCCAAGAAATATAGATAATGAAGATATCTTTTACATCTTGGGCTGAGCTGAGCCACAAAGCACCAAATGCGCCATTCCACCACCAAGCTCTGCATCCAGACCAACGTGAGCAAGAGCTGAAGCAGGAATACAGGTCAATAAAGGGGCTGCAGGTCATTATCCTTACGAGTTGTCATTGAAAGAGGTCTTGTCCTGTCCAACTCTTCCACCAAACCTGTGCTTGGATCTGCAGAAGGCTGAAGCGTTGTACTACGGCTGGAGTCCACATCTGAAGGAATTAAATTAGCGTTATTGCTTGACTTCCTAAACCACTACCTGAGGGTGGTTTGTATCTACAGCCAAACTATTCTTATATTCAAACCTGGGCAAGAGGAAAGAAAGCACATACTGATCCGTGTCTCCAGAACTGGAATACATTAATGTTTCTTCAAAACAGCATCACAAGAAGTAACTGGCTTTCATTTAAGGGCTGAATTGTATGAAAGCTACAATTTTTGTTTGTTTTTGCTGAGTCTGGAAGGACTCTAAGTGAGCAAATGATGGGCCTCCCAAGCTTCGCACAGAGACAGAACATAACCCCCGGTATGTTAGGGCGACTCCTAGGATGGCCCTAGACTTCCCCCATTCCATACACATCGCCTTTCTTGCAGACACATGGGATCTGACAAATGGAGAAAGGACAAAGCACACTGTTCAGGCAGCATTTTGTCACATCCCCCTTACTTGGCAAAAGCACATTTTTTATAGCCTTCTTCTCTCATTTGGTCCTCTTTTGTTTTACAAAGCAAATGTGCAAATAAAATATAAAATCATCATCTAATGCTACCTAGGTGGAGGCCACAGGAAGTATTCAGGGGCAAGAAATAAGAAGCAGTGGGTGTTAGTGAATCATTCTTCCTGTAAACAAAAGTATGAGGTGTCTTTGGAATTTAACATGTACAATGTTGAGCAGTACAAAAATTTCACTGAAATATTTATACGTGCTGTTTCTAATAATTATGACAGATCAAGTCTGCTGAAATAACATGTCCCGAGTGACGCAGAGGCCAAACAATCCATAAACACCATCACTGTTGCTGGCTCTCCAGTGAAAAGTCTACCCACACTGCTGCCTCTGGGGAGATGTAATCAGTTCCAGATGACTCCAGAGGGAAACACTGGAATACTGGTCACCCACATCTACACTGCAGCCTTTACGTATGAAAAGAAAAGAGAGCCAAGATCTTTGCAGGATGAAACATGGCTACTCTATTATCCCAGATTTCAAAAAGAAGGAAAGGTTAGCTAACCCCAATCAAAACCCAAAACAGATATTCTCCCAGAAAAAGTTCTGTCTGCTCTTGGTCTCTAGACATCTTGTTCATCTTCCCTCTTATAAGTAGAAGCTTTCAAGAAGTATCACACCATTCCATGGTTGAAGCCCACTGTAGTGTCCTTAATGTGTTCATCAATTTAATGGAATCTCTCTCCGTTCATCAGTAAGCAGACTTAACATAGATTCTGAAGTTATTTTACTGGCTTGGTTTTCCACCACGGCTATCATCGGCGCCTCCAGCAGCCATGTGCATAAATGTGTGTGCTGGGTCTGCATGTGGTACTTCAGCCACGCAACATAATGGTCCTAGCCTACCATTCAAACTCATCTTCCTTTGTGACAAACGGATCCACTTACTCTGACAAAGTCATTCCTTGGCTTTCATTCCTTTGTGCCTTTCCTTACATGAGTCTCCTTCCTAGAAAAACCTTTTCCTGATTTGCTTTCTCTGATTATCCAGGTTTTTTTCCATTTTTCAAAAGCCAGATCCAATCTACCTTTCTCTGACATTCTGCAGACGGTACTCTGAATTTCTTTGGTGTTTATTGTTGGAAACATTCATTTGACATCTACTACTTACTGTCTCGTATTGTTAGATATATTTTGATGCTAAATGTTTACTTTTCTTAGCTAAATTTTAAGTTCCTTAAGAGCATGAACCATGAATGGTACATTGTCATGTCTCCATAATCATGAATGGTGCATTGTCGTGTCTCCATAATGCCTTGCATGTTAGCAGATATTTAATACAATTGTAGTTTAAGGAATATATGTTCACTAATATTTGGGTATGTCATAGTTAGAGTGTTCTAAAAAACTGAAACTGCTGGATTCACTTCAGAGATAACTTTGTTTGATTCAATACCAAGAGACATCATTGTTGTGCTCTTAGAACTCACTTCAATAAGGACTGTGTTACATAAACCCTTGACAGTTTGGATCCAGGTTATTTAGTCTATGCTATGACTGAAAATTCACATCGCCGTATCGGTTCTTTTGGTTTACCTCCCTTTTCACAATGTTACATTTCTATGACAAAGATATCCCGTTAAAAAACCCCCAAACTTGCAGAACTATCCACGGGTATAGTAAGAAACACAGGATTCTTCAACTTGGCAAAGATTGAGAAAAGAGGAGCATCTCCTACTACCAACTCTGCAGATTCTCTAAGGAAAGCTGTCATCTGTTCTGGTAAAGGAAGAATTCCTTTCAAATATAAAAATTGGTCAAATGAAATCACAATTCTCCATTCCGCAGAACTACAACTAGTATCTTTTTATTCTCTCTTGTTTAATTTTGCTTTTGAATTGCTTATAGGTAAATAAGGATGATATTTAAGAAAATAGGGATTCCATCCTGTGTAAAAGTTGTCCATTCATTAAATTCACAAGTGTTTACTGAGGGCCAAGTGTGGTCTAAATCCTAAACCACTGAGTACTGTATTTATTTCTAAATGTGGCAAGAGTAAGTGATAAAGTTTTTTGAGCTTTTTAGTTACTTGTTTGGAAGGAGTACTCACCAATTTTTGACCTCCAAGATTTCTCTACCAAAGATGAATTACATCTTTAGGTCTATAATGGAAATAGTCATGGAATAGATTCCATCGCTTCACTCTGTTAAAAACCCTGCACTTGGAAGCAAACGGGAAAAAAATCTTGAGACTGCTTCTTCTTCAGAGGAAATGACTTTCACGTCATCTTAGAACTAATTCTTCTTTAATCCTCCTGCCAAATTCTTCACTCACAGCCCAGGACTTCATATTTAGATGAATGTGCTTATCACTTCTTACAAGAAAACTAACTTCTGAAGAAACTTCAAGTTCCTTAGGAAAGTAGACTGGTCTAAAACCAAAGGCATATTTCTAGGAAAATAGCCATTTGGTGGTTTTCAAAAACATAATATATAAAAAAGCTCAGAGGTTATTACCCATCCATCTTTCCGTGTGATGACCTCGTCCCATTGGATGTGAGATTGGGTCGAAGAAATAAGTCCAGGAACTGTCCTCTTGACTCTGCGTTGTCATTCTTCGATTTGGATGGCTGTCGTGGGCTGAGGCTGTTGTGACTAGGCAGTTCAAGCAATTGTCAAAGTGTTAGTTGACATTTGGCCAGGGATATACTGATTTATTAAAAAGGCTATTCTTGAGACAAGACAATGAAACCATCTTCCTGGCATAGGGGCCCAGGAAGTTGCATAAATGCAGAATGTTTTAGCAGGTATGGGTTCATTCATGCTCATTTTCTTAGCAATCAGCATGTGAACTGGAGGACACAGAAGCATTAATGACTTTCTCAGTGGTTAGAGGATGAGCTAGAGACACTGAGTGAAGATGAAGAAGCAGTTCTCGACCCATGCCATGTTGCCACCGTCCCCCAAAGGAGGAAGTGTAAGAGCCCAAGCACATGACGTCATTCCGAGACAACCACATCCCAGTGAAATGCACATTAGGCTGGCAGTGATTTAGAGAAGGAATAAGGTAACACTCCCCATGAGATAAACATGAAAGTAAATGCCATTCATCTCAAAAGCATGAATGGAATCCATTAGCAGCATTACCTTCTATCAATTGGATTTATGGCATGAGTGACCTATAAGAATGCAGCATATACTTTTGCTCCATTCTGAGCCAGTGGAGAAGTGTAGGTGGAAAAGAATACAAAAGTGGCCCCTTAGCAATAACCACACCACAAAGCCAGTGACTGAATCCATTGCTCTTGCCAGGAATGCATTCAGAAGTTGCCACACACTGGAAGGACATTATGCGTTATATTCTATATTGCAAATGGAAACACAGGAATATTTATCAATGATATCAAATGAGAATATGGAATTCATATTCTTTTACAAGGCAGGATGCATTTCAATGTTTCCATCACACAGACAAAAGAACATGCATAAGAGCTTGCAGAGCCAAGTTCTCTAGCATCACGTAGAGATGATTAAGACTTGAGTCTGGTTTCCACAATCCCACAAGTCAAGAAAAGAGAAGGTGTGTTTTTTTTAAAATCTTAGAAAAAAAATTGTACATTCAAGGAGAAATCTCCAAACAGACATGACAAAAGGGCCGAATGACATCAGACAGGTATTTTTCTCAAAACGTCTGGCTCCATTTCTTCAAACACTGGGGTTCTGACCAAATGCTTTCTAACAAGCCTAGTGTTTCATAGAACCATATTACAAAGCCTGGACCCACACCATAGAGTGGATTCCTTTACAAAACAAAAGGGAGCATTTTCCAAGATCAGAGCCTCTGCTACACTCTCACTAGGGGATGCCCAAAACTGGATCTGAGAGTGACATATTCCAGGGCACATTCTAGTCTCTGTGCCTCCTTCATGCGCTTATATCCATTCCTGTCCAGGTGATTGGTTATGAGCACGTAAGGGTTGGCTCTGTGTTGACTGCATCATAATTTATTAAGGAACTTTAACATCTCGTGGCAATTCCTTCAACGTCTTTTTGTTCGCTGTCCTCAGTGCCCAACATTGAACCCAAGAGGAAGTTTCCACCCACATTTGCTTATTAAGCTATCCATTACCAGCTGTCCCTGTTGCTGAAGGAGAGTCTTCCTTTGGCGTTTGGGTGTATTCCCCACGCCATCCGTCCTCAAACCACTGCTCTTTCTGGGTAGCTGTGTCTTCTGCTGTCCTACTAGAAAGCGCCCAGGCTGTGAGAAGAATGGCAATTGTGAGGCATTATTGTTCAATTTCCTCACCAAAACATATCTCTCTACTTCAAGGGCACATACACGTGGGAGAGAAGGTAGACTAGAAAAGCGGCAAGGAGGCAGACCGCCGATATTCTGAAAAGGAGCTTAGAAATCAAGCGGCCCTATCCTTTAACTTTTCAGATGGGAAAACTGGGGCCCAGAGAAGTTTTGATTTGCTCAAAATCATATCGTAGATCGGCACAAAGTTAGAACTAGCCCAGAGTCTGTGAATCCCCAGTATTCTTCTTATTTTACTAGTGTCTATGGCCTCATGTATCCTGCCTGAGAAAACTGTTGTTCAAAGAATTAACCTCTTTGCTCCAGTGGTTTTGGGGGAAGGACTATCTTATATAAGAACCTACAACAGGATGAGTGTCATGGGAGACCTTCTCAAATGGTGGTCACATCAGCCATAATTATATGCACTGGAAATGCACCTGCAGTGGATTTGCCCAGCATAGAAGACGTTGGGAATGACACAGAGGCTACTTCACTGACGCAAATGACTTGTGTTACGTCTGTGTGGCATCCAAAATTGCCAAAATTACTTTTTATTCTTTGGGGGGAAGATTAGCCCTCAGCTAAATCTGCCGCCAATCTTCCTCTTTTTGCTGAGGAAGACTGGCCCTGAGCTAACATCCGTGCCCATCTTCCTCTACTTTATACGTGGGACGCCCGCCACAGCATGCCTTGATGAGAGGTGCATAGGTCCCCGCCTGGATCTGAACCAGCGAACCCCAGGCCACTGAAAAGGAGCGTGCAAACTGAACTGCTGTGCCACTGGGCTGGCCCCCAAAATCACTTTTTAATAAAATTAGTTCAGTGGAAGAAAAACCATCTAAGCCAGTGTTTGGCAGTATATAAACAATACCAACGTGTGATAGACTTAACATTTCAGCCACTCAGTGTTGTAACTGTCCAGTTTCGAAAAGGACAAAATGAACGGAACAAAATTGTATCAGGGTTTCTCTGGGAAAAATCAGAAAGCCACTGACATTTTCATCTATAGCAACTAATAGCAGATTTTTAGTTGATCAAGAAAATGAGAGCTTATCAACTTGCCAAGCCAAAGTATATTTTGCAACTTGTAAAACTGATTGTATTTTATTATTTTAGAAAACGATATGTGTGATGTGAGAACAGCAAATACATTTGAAAAATAAAACTAATTTTCCTCGTTTTACCCTTGCAATGGCCAAAACATTCCTGGGGCTAATTGGTTATCCAGAGGGAGGCAGAAAAAATCCCAAATCTTAAGTTTTATCTCCCACTGACTAAATCACTACCTCTTGACAAATAAGCAAGTTAGGAAAACCGCTGAATGCAATTACAAAAAAAGAAAAATTAATCCAAACATAGACTGTCTAGTCAAAGTTTTTACTTTTAAAGAAAAAAGAGAAATGCATATGTATGTGCACATGTGCACATGCGCACGCACACACACACTATATACTCCTTCTATCACTATCTTTACAAACACAAAGATCTTTTTTAAATATATATATACCTTTTTTAAAGACTGGCGCCTAAGGTAACATCTGCTGCAAATCTTCTTTTTACTTCTTCTTCTTCTTCCCGAAGCCCTCCAGTATATAGTTGTATATTCTGATTGTGGGTCCTTCTAGTTGTGCTATGTGGGACACCGCCTCAGCATGGCCTGACGAATGCTAGGCCTGCGCCCAGAATCTGAACTGGTGAAACCCTGGGCCGCCGAAGCAGAGCGTGTGAACTTAACCACTCGGCCACGGGGCTGGCCCCCACAATGATCCTTTAACTATCTAGTAACCTGCTGTTTTCAACATATGAGTTAGCAGAGTATAGGATTTCCCTTGTAAAATATGAAAGTTGACTCTCTTCTACAAATTGTGATGTTCTTTTGATAAAGCCCAGTGGTCACCAACCAGAGCTCTGTGTTTGCAAGTACTGATAAGACAGTTGCTGCAGCTCTCGCTGTCTTCCCTCTGTTAGGCGCTGTCATGTCCGGTTTTTCAACTACCCTCCAGTGATGATGCCCCTCCCTCACCACCTTTTGACAATAGGTTCATTAATTCCAAGCCTCTTATGTAACTTTCTATTTTTTAAGTACAAACTGTCTTAAATCATTTCTGAGTTACACTGTCAGGACCCAAAGGGGACGGTATGGAATCCCATGCTTAAGAGACTTCTGCTTCTCATTCCTTCTTCTAGCAGAAGATTCTTTTTTTTTTAGCTTGGCCCATAATCCTCACGCGTGTATCAGATCCATTGGGGTAAATAATGAGACGTAGGCCTGTTGGACACATTCAGTACAAAGCCCAGGATTTACTAACCTAGTCCTAGCTGACGTCCGAAACATTTCTTTTGTTGTCTGAAGACATCCCTCAAACCATGGTTCCCCAAACCCCTTTGGTTTCTCCCTTTGGCTTCTAAGTGGCTGTTTCTTACATTTTTCCTTTAGGAGTATCCAAGGCTAGGAGAACAACGGTTGAATCCTAGCTTTAAAAATGCTACAATCCTAAATTAAGGCTTTTAAAATTCCAAACATGATAGACAGCTCTTTGAGAAATAGATGAAAGAAGAAGAGTATATACTTCTCACTTTTTGTTTCTCCTATCCTCATGGTCCAGGAGTGAACGAGATTGTTTTAGAAAACCTGAGATGTTTGCACATAAATGGAAATAACAGCATCAAAGCCTTCCCCAAGCTACCCCGGGTTCAAAAACAGAAATAGAACAGTCACAGAATTCAAATATAGACCATTTGAGCTATTGACTATCCTCCAAAATTACAAGGGATGTCTTTCTACAATGCAGTGAGGAACAGAATGGGAAAAAGAAACTGGATTCAACAAAGACCTTCATAGAAAATAAAAATCCCAAAGATCATTGCATTTGTCGAGCTTTCTTCCCAGATCCCACTACTAAACACCAAAAAACCCCACTCTTCATGATACAGTTCCATAAACACACTCAAACCACCCAAGTGGAACGTCTAGGAATCTTTGACACAAAAACCTTATCTCGGATCTTTGTAAACTTTTTATCTTTTTAAACATTTGGCCTTTTGGGCAACCTAGAAAATTAGCATTTTTCTGTCAATTTCTAAAAATTGTGTGCAGATTTGGCAGCTTTTCATTCTCTGGGGATAAAAGAAATTAGTGCATGGAAATAGAAGATGTGGCCAATGTCTAAAAAGAAGTCTTCCCTGTCCTCTGGAACGCCTCCACTAACTCATCTAAACAGACCGCTGACCGCCATCCTTCTTACTTGAGCTTGTAGAATGCTGGGTCTCCTCTTCGTCATGATGCTCATGGTGAACGAGAGGAGAATGTGGTTCCTGGGTCTGACTTTCTCCATAAGCACTGGTGCCACTTCTGTCCACATCTGTTGTGATGATGGTTATATACACTGTGACTTTTTATCAACCAACCTTGATGGTTCTGTTCTTCCATTGAAGTACATGCTACTTAATGGTTCTATCCCTAAATAATACCTCTGAGCGTCTACTATCAATACTTTTGAGTGACTTCACTAATCTCTCCCAAGAGAAAACCAACGGGCATGGAAATTCTTAATGATTAACTGTTATTCCACTATAACCTCTTTGTCAAGGGCAGCACCATAATGGTTTCATTTTTATAACAAAGCAGCATAAAATACCTTATGCCCAGATGGTATGATTGATAAATGACTCCTAAATTACACTGAGTATTCTCCTGAAAGCTCACTAAGAATGTGTGATGAGATATTAACTAAATTCCTCACTGTGTTCTGATGATTGACCTTTGCAGCATCATAGACTTCAAGGGAAAAAAGTCTTTAATTAAGTGTGCATAACCCATTACCAGTCATCCTTGTGGCTGTCTGAAGTAAGATGCCTGGAGTTGAATGGCCTGGGCTCCATTGCCGCCAATCCTCGTTCACTTCTGGGAACTTAAAAATCCGTGGTTTGGTTGGAACTGTGACAATGATGATTGAAGTAATTAAGAAAATGTTATTTCTCGAGCCTTCACCACTTTTTTTGCACATTTCTCCCTCCTTTAGTCTACAGAGTGAATCATCTATAACAGGTTGTATAGATGCTTGAGTGGAAATGGAGGGAAAGCAGAGCGTGCCTTCAGCTTGATTCAGCCATGTTGTTAAGCATCTCAGTGTCCTTTGCATTCTGTCATAGAATACGCTGGGGTCAGAACATGAGATCTTTCGGAGACAGCAGCCAAAGAAGCTGCAGCAGGAGGAAGAGCAGCTTTGAAGACACCAGCCCGCCACCGAGGATAACCAAAGATGTCGGAGCTTTGCCCGTCCGTGCAGTCTAAAGGCCCTCTGCACTTGAAAGCACAAGGAATTTGGATGGCTGCAAAGTGTGCTGCATGAGATTTTCAGGCTGCAGAGGTAGATACTTGAAATTTACACCACGATGATCACGTTATTTCGTTAGTAGTTTTGGCGGCGGAAAGGAACACCCTGAGCAGCCAGAGTTTTCCTAGAGATGATTCTAAGAGAGAATAGCTACCTAGAACAGCCATATGATTGAGCTCTTCATTTCTGAATATATCAAACACCTATGGTATTCGCATCAAATACAAAGCATTTCATGAGCAAGCCATTCAGAGCCAAGAAAGCAAAACAAGACACACGTGTTCAGTGGAAAAACACCAGAGGCGACCAACCACCATCACAGCAGCTCCCCAGGAAAAAAAGAGGCATACATCCACCAGTGCCCTGATGCCGTCACTCAAAACGACAGGGCTGTAATAGGAGATGCACCTGACAGAAGGATCACGACAAAATCAGAATCAATGACTTTTGTGACAAGGTTATTGGCAAATCCATCCTAATTCTTTCCAACTTTATTTTGATACCCAAATAATACAAAACTCTTTTCAGAACTGTAATACTATCAGCTCTGTTTCACAAGTTAAGAAAATCTGGTTTAGAATCCTTAACCATATTCTCAGTAAGTATTAAAAAATGGCAGTTACCACACCCCTACAGAAGAAGCAGGGCATCCTCCTGAATTATGTGCATAGGTGCCAAGCAGAAAAGTGAACTGAAACTGGAAAATATGACACAGAGATGAAAAATGCCAAGGGGAGTTTTCCCTGGTGCTTGATCATACAAATTATTTTCAAGTTAATCTGTTTGGGTTGCCACCAAAGAGAGTTTAGTTTCTCAAGTATCAAGACCACGTCTTTACTGATGACCCCACCTGGAAGATGAGGCCACATCCTGAACCCCGGAGAGAGTGTAACAGTAAAGTTCCAGTGTTTTTGGTTATTTGATTTTCTTTCTGAAGTGACTAAAAAGAGTTTCCTTTTTCTATAGACTTGTTTTCTGAGGTGTCCAGGTTAAGAAATACACCAGTCAAAAATTTAGATATAAAGCATCTAGTTCATCTAAAGTATTTGTCATCTCAGTGCCATATACTCAGATGCCTTCAAGGTCTAAGCTATTTTCTGGATCCCTCTTCTCCTGGCTGCTGTCCATTTGGGGATAAAACTCTTAGGTTTCAATGGGACAGATAGAACTTGAGTGACCTGAGAGAGCTCACGTAACATCCCAAAGGCACGCCTCCTCTAAGGGAAAGCAGAGCTGGGATGGAGTCAGGCTCAGCATTCTCATCTCTGTTCAGCAATATCTTAGGTCATTACAGGTATGTACAGGAAATTCAGTCATCTGGAAGAATATTAGGCCAACTTTTGCATTTTTTAAGGACATTTTTCAGCTCAATTTCCATGTGTGTTTTCAAAAAGCATTATAGCTGTCACAAATTCAGTTACTATTATGCAGTGTTCACTATTTGCTTTTAATAATTGGCACTGTTTTGTTAAAGCTCAGCTGACATTTGTCCTTCCCTTCAATGTCTTTCTGTTATATGGGTGCCCAACTCTGGATTCGTCCCCTTGACCTCAATCAGGTTTTGATTAAGTAAGACAATTCTTGAGTTCTGGTTCCCATCTTTTAAGCCTTTCCAGAGCCTTCTAAATCTTCAATGTAGGATCATGTACAGCTTTTAATTACTACCCTCTCAGCCACATTCTCCAAGCCTATCGCTTCAACAGACCAGGAGTTCCTTGAAGACAAGGGCTCTGGCTTTTTTCTTCTCTGAGTTGTCAGCACCTAGCACAGTAGGAACACAATGGTTACTTGTTGTAATGTTTTGCTATGCCATTCTCTGACACAGCTCAATAATTCAAAGAGAATCTGTAGCAGCAGATCATATAAATAAACAAAACAGGAAGAATGTGAGACATGAGAAATTTTATAACAGACACTTTTCCCATTTCTCCTCCAAATATGTTTTGGTTTCCATTCAAAACATTTCTTCATAATCCTTTTTTTTTTTTTTGAGGAAGATTAGCCCTGAGCTAACATCCACTGCCAATCCTCCTCTTCTTCTTTTGTTTTTAATTTTTGCTGAGTAAGATTGGCCCTGAGCTAACATCTGTGCCCATCTTCCTCTGCTTTATATGTGGAATACCTGCCACAGTATGGCTTGATAAGCAGTGTGTAGGTTCATGCCCAGGATCCCAAACGGCGAACCCTGGGCTACCAAAGTGGAGTGCACAAACTTAACCACTACACCACTGGGCTGGCCCCTATCCCTTCATAGTCTTATTGAGGTAGAACTAAGGTATGATCATGGGCTCATGCTCATTTTTCCTATTAACTATTTCCCAAGATAGATACTATTGGGCATCACTCAGATTAATTAGTAAGCCTCGTGCAAACGATTCTACTGTAATTGATTATTCTTACTGGTGCTGGAGACAAAATCTTCATCATCATCAATGCCTGATCCAGAATAACTGGGGTGTTTGTCTCTTTCATCTTCGTTTTCTTCAGTTGGCTCCCAGCCTGCTGAGATGACATTTGAATCCGTACCTGTTGTGGTGACTCGCATTAGTGGCTGAGCTGGATGTCAAGCAACCCATTTGACAAAGGAAGAAAGCCAGGTACAAAGTGTATAATGGAATCCCAAAGATTATAAGGAGAAAGCGAGATGTTTGACTTGTATACCCCAAATTCTTATATCCTGGTCTCTGAAGCTAATACATAGATCTAAAAACAATCGGCTATGATCTTTATAACTGAACATGCTCTTTAAGGAGTTTAAAACCATAAATATGGACATAACCCCACCAAAGCAGTAAAAAAAAAAAAAGGCCAATGAATGCTCCCCCATGCTTTCAGATGCATTTCTTATTAACTTACTAAGCACATGCCATTAAAGTTAGGATGTCAAGAATAGAATGGAAAGGTTTCACATGTGCCTATTTGTTGTGTGAAGCCACCTTCAGAAAAACCTTGGAATCTAAACACACTTCAATCATTTCTAAGATTCCATAGTTGAAATCACAATTTAATAATTCACTTTTTTATCTTCTCTAACGTCAAATCACTGTAGCTCTGAACGCAAGTGAAAGCTACACTGCAGTTCCCAACAGCACTTTAGCATAGAGCAAAACAAGTTAGTCACTTAATAGAGAAGTCATGCTCGGCATTTATTAATGAACCAAAAGGGTTGACTACAGTGGACTGTAGCCAAGATTTTGAGAAATTCTCACTTTTTCCCTTTTGGATGCAATCACAGGAAAGGAGATGGAAATCTTCCAGCTCTGCTCAGTGGTTACTGTAGAAGATGTCTCTGCCCTGAAACAGGGTTGCCTACATTTTGAATGAGATGGGCGATATCTTTTGGAATGACTCTTAGTCTTTTCATATTATTAGTGTCTACCCCAAGAATAGTTCCACTGATGGAGATTTGCTGTGTTTTATTATTTCTAGCTCTACTGTTCTATTTTCTCATGAAAAGTCAAGAACTTTTTATAATTTTGGTCATTTTAGAGGATCTTTCAGAGGCAAAATTTTGTCTTCTCATCAAGAAGGACTTGGCCCCTTTTCACAGCTCCTTACCAGCCTCCTCCAGGGCTATATTAATTCTACAGAGTAGGAAGAAGAAATCTGCTCACTAATGCTACAAAATCAAACATGGAGATCTCAGAGCTCATGATTTTTCTAAAGTCATCAAAATCATTTGTGAAACTAGAAAGGTCTTCAGACTTTGACAACATCTCAGAGGCCAATGAGAATTATTGACCACTGTCAAGGAGACACATGAAATGAGATAATCAACTCATTGCCAGCCATTCTTGTTGTTGTGTGAAGAAAATTCTTGGACTCTGATGGTTGAAACCACCATGAAAACAAATCTTGGGCTTCTCGCCTCTTCACTGCTGTTTTGGGAGCTGCACACTAGTACTCATCAAAGCCATTGTAACCATAACTGAGTTGATTGCTGAAAGGCTAATTATAAGTTCCTAAGAAATAATGTTGTATATACTTTAACTTTTTCACTACTCAAGAGAATTATCTGTAGTTGATATAGATGGCAGAAAGAACGGGATAAAAGCACAGAAGTTCCATTTCTTTCAGAGGCCCAAGCTGGAGTCCACAGAATGTCAAAGATGGAAGGACCTTACATATCATCTACTTCATGCTCCTCATCTTACAGATGAAAAAATTGTGATGGACAGACCTTGACTTGTCTAAAGTCAGAAAGCTAAACAACAGAGAGAGATCAAAGAGAGCATGAGAGCAGTCTTCAAATTTTAAAAGGCTATAACATAAGAGAGAGATTAAATTTTTGCCTGTACTCCCAAAAGGCCAAACTAGGACCCGGGGTGTGAACTTCAGGGAGATAAATATTCTTTCAAATGTGGGATTTAAAAAAGTAATAATCTCAACTATCCAACAATGAGATTCTTCATAAAATATTATGTTCCCCACCATCAGAAAGATCTATTAACAGGAAAGCTGTGTAAGAGATCAAATGATTAGAAGTGTTGACTGAACTAGACCGTCTAAGATCGTCTCCAATCTGAGTCTGTGACTCCAAAACCTGGCTGTTCGGAGTCCTAGCCCTTTATCTTTCACACACTCTACCCTGGCCAACCAATATTGTTCTCAAAGAATTCAGGATATGATATTTCTTCCAGCAATCCCAGCCATCCTCAAAATATGGGAGAATGACACATGAAGGGGAAGACTAAAGAAGACGCCTTTCCACTTTTCTCCACTTAGAGTCCAAATCGTCTAACAACCTCGCTCATGGGCACTTTTTATATAAACACTATATTTTGCAAAGCAGAACAGGACACTTTGAGTCCCAGGTTTTGAAAATAGGATAATCAATCAAGAAAGACAGACAGACATGAAGTAACCTAATGGTCTCACTAATCAGATCAGAAGCAAGAGTCCTGATTTGAAAACTTTCAAAGACTTCCATTTCTGCAACCACGACGTTCACCAGAAGAATATTAGATATTATTAGACGAAAAACTGAAAAAAAAGTTCCGCGACGCTGAAACTCTCATTAAATTCCCAAATACAAAAATAAGGTGAATTAGATTTCTTTCTTCAGCTATCAAGAAAGCCCAGAAATGACCCAAGATGAAACACTGACAAGATCATTTCCTTCACACTGTTTGTGCTATGAAGATAAACATTGCAAACATTTAAAAACGGCATTTTGTTATTCCGCTCTCTGTCTGTCTCTTGTTCCTTCTCTTTCCAGAATTGTCTTAATCACTATGATATGCAATCACGACATCAGCACTATTTTTCTTACTTGAATATTTGTCGAAATAAAGGATATAGTTTATTCAATGTCTTGTAAGCTAAGCAAACTTTACATTGGCTTAGTGGAAGGACCATTTCTATTGCTCTCCTTCTGTAGAAAGAACGCCGAATTATTTTGAAATATGGCCACATCCTCCATCAACAAAAGTTAATAAATGAAGATATACTTGTAATCTCCCACTGTCAGAGACTTTGAGTCTTTTCCCACAAAAGCTCCCAAGTGAGAATACTTTGCAGGGGTTCAGAATCAGTCGTCAAACATTCGGAAAGCTTGTTAGAGGCCTAGATTCTAAAAGAAAGTAACAGGGCACTTCCTACACTTTACAGCTGAGGTTTTAGATGTCCAAACAGACACCCGGGGCCTACACTTTCCATCTGTAAGTCAGTATCTCCATCTACTATTACTGACTGTGATAATTAGATCAGCAGAAAGTAGGAGCCTGCACTTTCTAACACACTTCTTTCTAGAGAACATGTTCTGAATGAATCTCCTAATCGAAGCCTCAAGGAAAAATAATTCTGATTCTACATGCACGTTGCCAAAAGGAAAACGAGTAGGATATTGAGAGTATCTAGTCATATCCCCAGATCCATAGGCCTCTCTGATAAATGAAATGGTACAGACTCTGTTCTCACTAAGGATGCTGATGGAGCATCAATAGGAAACTTCAGCGTGATAACGGATGCTCTTTTCCTTAACACTGAAACACTTGGCATTCAGGACAGCAAGTAAGCAAAAAACATAACAGTTTACCTGTCACTTCTGTCGTTGTCCTATCTTGAATCTTAGGCTGTGAATTACCAAACCAGAACCATATCCAATTATTTTGCGTGTGAGCTTCTGCATGGCTGTTTGAGTGCACACTTGAAGTAACCGGATCAATTATGAAAATATCATTCAGTGAGATCTTTCTACAAAACCTTTACTCTCAGTTCTGTCTATGTATACCATCTGTATCTGTTATAGAATGGAGATCAGAAACAAATCGAGGCCTGATTTTATCTTTCCAGTCTCCTAAAGTCTCTTAGAATCTTAGGACAGCATTAGAAATACAAATTCTGTATGCATATCAATTCAGTGCTGCTCATTCTACAAACTGAACCCCCTGAATACAGGCTCAGAGCAAAATCAAGTAGCAACTTAATAACCTGTGATGGAAAAGAGATTTTGTATTTACTTGGCTGGGTGACCCTGCTGTGAACAGAAGGTCCTTGATGCAGCATTTCCTAAAGTTGCTTTCATTCATTTATTTTTGGAGTATCTTTAGAGGTGCTTGCCTGTATCTTTTGGGTCTATCATTTTACCCAGGTAGCCTGTGATGACAATCAGAATTTCAAACCTCCACCCCCACTCATTAATCTCAACTTAAGCTTTACACTTGAGCAGAAATCAGATCAAGCTTTCTCAAGTATCCATCTACCACTTTCTGTCACTTTTAATTCTAACTCAGAATGTATTTCCAGAAAACAAACACAAATGCGCAAGTTAGAGAAATTCTGGACTCTGTTCAAATTAGAGAAAGGACAATCAGTAAGATTTTACAACTTGAAATCTCTCATTCGACTCTCACGTTGGACTTGAGTCCAGAATGTTTCCCTGTAGAAGAAGAATGGCAAAGATGATCAGGATAAACATGTACACAGCTGAGGTTTTCATAAATCATTCTGAGTCACACACTCCTTTCAAAATTGGATGTTATGGCCTTTCTCCTCACAAAAGTGATCCTACACACTCAAACTTTTGCATATTATTTCAGGCAGCTCTTGACTACCTTATGATCGATCACTGAACCTACCGGAAGTCCATGAACTCTAGGTTAAAATCTTTGACTCTATACACACCCAACGTCAACAACCTGCATAATACGTTCCATGCGACAAAGGACACATTTGCACAGAATAGAAAGTGGAGAGACAGCAGCCAATTTCACCAGTGATTCCCCAAGATAAAGCTGAGCAGCCCCTGGAAAAGTCGCAGACACACCATTCTCACCTCAGAAACTTTATTAAGATACACAGCTCCTGCCAGCCTCACCCTCCGGTGCACCAGCAAGAGACCACCGCAAGCAGACAGACAAGCGCAAGCTAGAAATCTGCATATTTCTGGCTTCTGGAAAGCAGTTGTATGAAATTTTGGAAAAATGGAAAAAGCTACTGTCTAGCCAGCAGAGTTTCCAATTTTCCCCACCTAAGTAGGCGATGCCAGACCAAAAAAACAAAAACAAAAACAAAAAAATCTATCTATATAAAGACATATATATGTCTATATATATATATGTATATTTCTTTGACACCCAGAAGACAAGGAACTAGAGCATTCCAAGGCAAGGGTCTGCTTCCTGGGTTAGTTTAGGTTTCTGGATTCCAAAGAATTCCAGATCACCAATAGAAAAGAGGCCAATGACACACCTGCAGGAAGGCTCTTCCAAAAATAGCATTTATAATAAAAAGTCTGCAGGAATTTGAAACCTACCCAGATGGTTGTTCTTACTGGCTTTCCCTATCGCCATCCACTAAGGACCCTTAAGGCAGGAAGGAGCCAGCGGAGCCAAAGCCGCACTTCCATGTCCTGAGCCAGCCCTCCTCTGGACCTCTGCCCTCCTGCGTGCGTTAGGGAGGATTTGCAGCCAGTCCCTCTCACTGAGTCCTGACTCTCAGTCCAACAGTCATGAGGTTTTGGGAATCTCCTCACTGGGCTTAGAAAATATAGCCTATTCAGGAACTCATCAACTGCAACTTGTCCTAGTAACTAGGCTATATGCTACGTTCAAGTTTCTACCTGCTTGTTTTCTTTGCCACCCTGCTGTGCATGAATGGATTAATTTGCAGCGCCCATGGGCCTCACTGGAGCCTATAGCACTTCAGTGGCCCTCAGGTTAGCCCTGGACTCACTCTGCTGGACAAATGAGCCTCTCTCTTCCTAAACCATCAACAGAAACTTAGCCAAGTGCTCTGGAAAGAGGAAAGCACGATTCTTTTCTCAACCCAAATCCCGAACTATGTTTTAGTTAAATCTCAAAGCATTCCTTTTCCCACTTGATTTCTGAACAGCATATAACTCCATGAAGACGGGAACAACTCTGTCCCCAGTAACTAGAGCAATGTCTGGCACAGAGAAGACCTCAAATATTGGTTGAATGGATGACTAGCTTACTTCTCTTCAATATTATTTCCTAATGGAGTTTACCACTGGATCCCAAGCCTTAAAACAAGCTGCTACACAGTAGTCCTCAAAATACATTTGCTGATTAACTCACTTAGGCGGGAAAGGTGCGATCTTTAAAAGATGTGCATGAATGTTCATAAAATGTGCTAACTGCCTTTTCTAAAGCACATGTGAAATACTCGTTATTTTATATAGGCCACTAGCAGCTTGTTAACTTCATCTAGCTCCCACAAGACATATTTTGTCAGGGTTTTCTTCCTTGGTGGGAAATGGTACTTTAGGGTAGGCCTGATCTGCTTGTTGCTGAGACCATTAATTGTTGTGTTTGCCAACAGCAGACAAAACGGCACACCCGGATGATAAGCACCGTCAACACGGCGACTTTTAGAAGTTAGGGAACCCAAGGGGCAGCAAGTAGCCAGCAGCACTGCCTCTTGGTTTGTAAAAGCTTCTTTCATGAAGCGTTGGCCGTGGGATTTCAGACAATGAGGTGACACAATCTCCAGAGAGCCAATAATCCAGGAAAGCATGGGCAATTTGAAAATATCTGCTTTTTGAAATGCTTCAAAGAATCCACAGAGTATGACCAGAACCCCGAGCCTTTTTCCATCACCTGCTCAGCAAGCTGCTAACAGAATTTTAAACCACTGTCAAGCAAGTAAACTTCCATTAAATCATGGTGCTCTGGAGGTTGCCCTGGCTTCTGGATGACGAGGCATAGGAAAGTTCCCCGACTTCACTTTCATAAACCAGGAGATTTCTGCCACAGTCTTTGGAGACCAGAGTTCCACCCCTCAAGAGCCACAGCCCAGAAAACAGAAAATCCACACCATACTAGGAAAGCTGCTCAAGAGGCAGATGCCCTATTTGTGTTGGAATAATCCTCCACAGAAGGAACACAGCCAATCTGGAAATCTGTTTTAAAACAAACCATAGGGAAAAAGCAGAGGGAAGCGAAGAAGGAGATAAGAGGGCCATGTAAACAGTTGTCAACGAAAGTGAAGCACGAGGAGCGAAAACCCAAAGAAATCCAATGCAGTGTTTACATATACCCACTCTTGGCGTCCCAAAGCAATGAGTTACCCACACAAACCAAGCAAGTATTAAGAGCCTTCTCCTACAGCCTGGAAATAAAACTCTTAAGCAGATTTAATTTGATCAGGTAACTCCTTCAGATATGCTTCTTTTGACCAAAAACAAAGGAAGTGTTTAGTGAATCATGGATGATGAATATAACTGAATATTGTACAGTTGATAATATTAATATAAATCAGGTCAAAACGTAAAAATATAAAGTTAAGTTGAAAAAGATAGCAGATGGAATGGTATGCATACACTATGATCCCAACTTCATAAAAACCGTTTTATCCATAGGGTGATAAGAACAAGAAGGAAACACACAAAAAAGAAAATAGCTTCCGTATCAGGCTTGAACTGTCATCTGTCAGGGACAAGAGAACAAGGGAAGTTCTTCTAAGAAACTTCCAATATGGTACTTCTTATCCCAAGGTAAGAAAAGCAGAGCCGTAGACGGACATCACTGTAGGCAGGAGCAGTCAGGGCACACAGGGCACTGCAGCCATGAGAGCCCCCACCTCTGTGACACCACCTACTTTTAGAGACAGGAGACACCAACACGTGAGTGCGCATCACTCAGGAAGATCAGAGACGTTTTCTCAAACACATCGCTATTGGAAAGCACAGTGATTCATTCTCCTTACTGGTAGTGGGAGTCTTCTCTGGGCTGTCAGACACCCAGGGACTGCTCTGGTCTTGGGTGGGGCGAGTGGTTGGAAGGTGGGTGTGGAAGATGCTGTAGCCTCCTGAAGTGCTTCTTTCGCTGGAGGACCCACTGCTCACGTCGTCATCCGCAGGGGTGCTGGGGTTGATGTCTTCAGGGTTAGTTCTGTACTCGCCTTTCTTGGTGTAGCGAGTGCCATCACGGTTAACGATAGCTAGGAGAGAGAGAAGGCACTTTCAGAACTGGACAGCTGACATTCTCTGAGTACAGGAAAGACTGTGGAGTATCATATAAAACAGTGACTTCAAAGCTATTTTTTCCTTTTTATTAAGAAAAACACACCTAACTACCTATTTAGTGGGGTGACAGAATGGCTGAGGCACTAAGAAAATGCGCCCTTCTCTGCCCACCCACGCGCCCTGGAAATGGGGAGGGGAAAGAGGAGGTGTCGGGAAGTGTCCATGTTTGAATGCCAGCTTCGTGTGGCTCTGGACAAGGTAGCCCACTGAGCTTCAGTTTTGTCATCTGTAAAATGGGAATAATACTCCCTCCTGTTACGAGCACTATATGAGACATTGTAAAGTGCTCAGCATAGTTTTCAAGATATAGTTGGTGCTCAATAAATGAAAATTCTCCTGCCTGTTCCCTCCTCTCCCTTCTGAAGTACACGTAAAATTTGTTGCTACTAATTCCATCTATTTTCAGAAAAGATTTAAAGTAGAAGACAAAAAGTAGCCTCTGCAGGGAAGATACATTGACAAATCCATGAAGAATTAGATTTTCTTTTTAAGGAGCCAATTTTGTCAGTTTAGGCAAACCCTTATTTCCGGCTAGGAAATCAGAAGGGCTAAATATTGACAGAGGCTCTGCCATCCTCAGAAATTCACCCTTGAAATGAACAGGCATGGATGCATAGAAAGATCAAAATCTTTGCTTTAAACAAGGAGATGGTTAGAACAGACAAGAGGAAAAAGCTGGAAGGAATTTGTTCAGTGTTCCTCCCTAAAAGTATTTGCTGCCTTCACGTCTGGGCCAGTCACTACATAAGTGTGCATTTAGCTGAAATTTTTCTGCTATATTGTCTTGGTAGGACTAAATATTTCTTATGTCTATCTAGCTTGCCCAGTGGAACTGTTAATAAAACATAAATTAAAAAACAAAGTCTCAATCATCCTGATAATCTCTGTGGGTGAGACCTGATAAGGAAATATGACCAAATTTGTACAGGTCTGGACTTCAAAAGAGATCTGTGGGGACCAAGGAAATGGAGCATTCATTGAGTAACAACTCGGGCCAGGCATGCATTAGACATTTTATCTTTCTGAACTTCCGTGACAATTCTCAGAAGTCGTTCCATTACCCAGATGAGAAAACAGAGGCTCAGAAAGAATAAGTCGTTCCTCTAAGATTCAGATCAGACCTGACTGAGACAGCACATCTCACACTGCAGGACTCTCCTCTCTTTTGCAAGGCACAGGCCAGGGACAATTCCTTGCATAACAGTGGGCGCTGGATCGTGTGGTCCAGGCAGATTCTCATCCCCTGCCACCACCACCACCCATGCACACTGAGGGGTCTGCTTCTTAGGATGGAGAAATTGGGCCGCCCAACACTGTGGCATACTTCTCAAAGAAACGAGCTCAGAGGCAACAGGATCAGATTAAGAGGTTGACCTATTTGAGCGTTCTGGTTGAGATATTCTGTTTTCTACAGGGCCGATACCCACTTCTGTGGGTAATTGAGATGATTTCAGATGGATGTGGCAGAAACAATGTTGAAACATATATCAGCAAGTTTATACCCTTCAAAATTACCTTTCAACACTTCAGTTAAATCAAATAGAAAAATTGGGAGGCTGAAATGCCCCTACCAACACTTACGAATGCCCTTCTATCAGAGCCTTTTCAGGAGCTGGAATTTAAGGACGTTAGTTAATTTTTCTTACATTTAAATTTATTCTTAAGGTTGTTTTGTATGACAAGGGGTGCCGGCTTTTCATGTGCCGTTTCTTTTTCTAAAATAAATGTATTATAAGTAGAAAATAATGGGTGAATGAAGTGAAAAATATCAAGTAAATGATAGGGCTGTGTACATAGATATGCCCCCTAAAAATGTGAAAGTGGTCTTCAAATGCCTGAAGTTTGAGGAGCAATGTGTTGGGGTAAACCAGAGAGCCGTTTCAGGCCATCACGGGAGAGCGGGGAGAAAGAGTGAATCGTAGCCCATCGCCCCTGGCCTTGCGGGAATGACTGGGGTTCATTCAAACATGAGACGGAAAATGCGCCCGTCCCTTCGAGGCGAGAAGAGGCACGTACTTATGGTAATGGGTCCCTCGAAGGCGTTGGGCAGGTCTGTGACCGAGGTACAGTCTTCTTCGGGCGGAGCTATGGAGCAGAAAAGAAAAGAAGGCATGAGATTTCTTAAAAGATGTGAGCAAAATAATTTCTATTAGTTAGTTAGGACTTACATATCCCAAACTTATAACTTATCCCAAATAATTTTCTTTTTCTGAAACTTGGTTATGTCTTCTAGGAACTTCTCTGAGCTTTGTGTTGCATTTTCCATATTTATTTAGCTTCATATATTTCTAGAAGCTTACTTGTTCCCTTACCCACCCCAACAAATTCATTCATTAACACATACACATGCTTTATGTCGGGCATCGTGGAAGGCTGGGAGTACAATGGTGAGTAAGACAGACGTGGTCCTTCTCTGACGAAGCATACATGAGAAATTACCTTCTTAATTTTTTATTACAAAAGTAATGTGGGAACATTGTAAAACTTTTTTAAAATAAAGAAATGTATGAACTATAATGAGAAAATCATGCGTAATCTCAATAACCTACAGAAATGATGGAAAAACATGGCAGACATAAAATCAAATGTTTATCAACATGAACAGCATGAGAATCTGAAGATCAATATAATCTACAAAGAACTTACTTGATAGAAATATTTAAAAACAAACTTATCTCTAGCCTTTTTCTTAATGTAATAATTAATTTATTAACGAATCTCTTTAGATGCCTACTTTGTATAAGCTGCTCCTCAGCCTGGATTCTCTGCGGGGGTCCGCCTCTGGTCTCGGCACTCAGAACATCTCCTGAGGCTGCTGTTTCGCTACATCTCACCATAGGCACCTCTGGCTTCTTTTTCTTTTGTCCTTCATTTACGTTCTACATTCCCCCCTTTGCAGGAGTAAAGATTTCTGACTGTGCCTTGGGCCTGCCTGCCACCCGCAGATGTTACTAGTAGCCCTCAGAGCAGCACCGTGTAAATAAAGCCCCAGAAAGGAAGTCCTGAAAGTTCCACCCCACCTGCCCTCCTTGAGTCCTACAAGACTGCAGAACGTCTCAGCAAACTGTTCCACTCGTGACCAAACGCTCTATTCGGTAGCTAGACCTTGTTTTGAGCTCTAAAAATTCAAAGAGCTTGAAACTGGCTTTTCTGTTATAGGAAGGTTGGATCTGCTTTTACATGCTGTGTGTGAGTTTTAGGTTAAATGGAAATTTATTTGTTAGATTGGTCTCTCCAGAGTTTCTTCTTGGCAAAGAGGAAGGAAGAAATGAATGGATGGATAGAAGGATGGATGGATAGACAGATGGATGCACGGATGCAGGCAGAATGTTACCACAAGCAAGGCTGTTATCACAAGTATATATTAAGTGTCCTGCCATAAATCACTGGGCTCTCAGAACACTGGACAAAAATACAAGTTGAACAAAACAGGTTTTGGTTGCATCCCAGTTCCTAGGAGCATCTTTTCCCACAAATCAAGAGGATGGCCTTTCCCTGCCTATTTCTTCGGCCTCATAGTGAAACTAACTGGCAGCTTTATATATTCAACCAGAGAAAAGCAGGTGTTAGGAAAAGCCATTCCTGCGAAGCCTGATTACAACATTTCTCAGAAGAGAGACTCTTCAAAGAGAAAGTCGCTTCCTCGGTAAGGTCATTCCTCACCATCCAATCCAAACCACCGCCCACCACTCCCCACACCCATCACCATCGCGTGTCATCCTGCTCTCGGTTCTCCTTCAGGCTTACCACTATCTACAATTATCTTGTTCATTTTACTCGGTGGCTATTCACGGCACATCTCCCAGCCCCTACCCCCTGCTGCCCACCCACCTCTGTAAAACATGTAAGCTCCACAAGATGACTTGTAACCTTATCTGTCTTGGTCAGAACATTTAAACGTGATGGAAACAGAGAGGCACTCAATAAATGTTTGTTGATGAATGAAAAAGCAAAAAGTTAACAATATAATTTTCCAAAGGTCCATTCTTCCTGTAAGCAGACCTAAGATGTTAACCCCCAAATGGTCTGCAAATATAAAGAGATCAAGAAGCAATCAGATAAACCCTGGATGGCAACGTCATAAGAAATAATTAAAGGAAGTTTCAGATACATCAGTTCATTTATTCATTTTAAGGGTTTACTCAACACATGTGCCAGATCACAAAATGAAAAAGGAGCGAAAACTGAACATGTTGCTGCCCCTGCTTTTGAGGAGTTCACAAGGTCATGGGGGCAATAATAATTAATATTTCTTGTGATGTTTACAGTTTTCAAAAAACATTTTCCCAATGATTCCTCTATTTGAAAATCAGGGCGTACAGCCAACCTGGGAGATCTTGAAGAATATTTATTCTGTCTCGGGGACACGACCAGAAACTGCCCTGACCTGAGAGATGCTTCTGATATCATGCTGCACAAACCCAGAAACAGACTTTGGATTATTGCTTCTTAGTGGCAAGGATGGAAGAGTCTCCCCCAAATTCAAACACAACTGCAGACAACAGTAGCGTACTGGGCGTTTCCAGGAGTTGAGTTGTAACAGAACGGGACATGATGCCCAAAACACTAAGTTTTGTAAATGATTAGAGCATTTGTTCACATGGTCCCCCTTCATGCTCCAATTCACCTTAACTTTTGTAAAGAACATCCAATCTGGCAAGCATACTAAGAAGGACGGTGACCTAAATGAGTAGTGAATACATTCATGCTCCCATGTCACATAGCAGAACCTCAACAGACAGCCTTTCATCCCATTTAACGAGCGTCGTGCTGCTGGCAGATCAAGCCTGGGGAGGTCTTCCTGAACTCAAGGGCTTGTTGGAAAGATTCTGGGATGGGCACCAAAGCGGCCAAGACAAACTTGAACTCTTCAGTCCAGCCAATCAGTCATGCCAAATAGAAAGGCCCCTTCTTCAATGCCTGACACATTCTAGGTAGCCAGGAAATATTTGTTGAGAAAACGAGTGAATGAACAAACAAATGAAGGTAGTCTCTTCCCCTAAATTCTACCTTCGGAAGAGAATGAAACACTGAGAGCAAACCTAAAGAATGAACCAGTCAGTCCTCTGTGTTGTTAACACAGAAGCCACCGGGCCCCCGCTGGGCGGTACTGTTGAGACATGAGGCAATCAAAATCTTCAGGGTCTGCTTTATTTTCATTTGTAAACCATGGGCCATGTTTTACGAAGATACCCTGAAACCATAAGCATCAGAAACTATCTGCTAAGATGGAGCTGGCTCCGGTCCCGGTAGCCAGTTGGGGGGGATCACATCATTGGGACCTGACCACCCGCTCGTGGGTCTCAGGCTAAGCTGGATTCAGGGATCTTTCCAGTGAGAGCCTTTGCATGTAGCAGACGGTATCAAGCTCTGTAGCTCACTCAATACCCCATCATCTGATTCCAAACCAAGGCACCTAGAATCTGTTTATCCTTAGACATATGTTCTTCTCCAGCTCCTTTTTTCTTTTTTCTTTTTTTTTTTTGGTCTTATTGCTTTAACAAGATTCTTAACTCCCAAGACAAGAAATATGGCCTCCGGTTCTTTCTCACCCTACTCTGCCCAGCACAGTACTGAGTGGATATAGTTGATCAATAAATACTCTTTTTAAAACTTAAAAAAAACTTATAAAAGCAGCCTATCCACATTGAGTACATTTAGAACAGAGAAAAAGAAAAACATCACTTCGAAGTTTACTCCTCTAATGCAGCCATTTTGGTATGCAATACACCCCCAGGACTTCTCAATCTTTTCAACTGAACTAACCTCCCTGAAGAAGAGGAAAGTTAATTAGCACTATTCACTCCCTTCTCTGAGGATAGGCCCAACCTTATGGGCAAAAATAAGGGCGGGGAGAAAAGTCTCAGCAGTGACTTGCCTAGCTGGCTTCAAGTCCGGGCAACAAAGCAGTGTGAGCTTCTACCTTCAGGAGTTAACGTTCTTTCCAGCAAGTGATACCAACTTGTAAAACAGGTGAGACAATGTGGATATGCAACAACATAATTTATTGCATCCATTCACTCGACAAGACTCAACGGGAGACACAACAGGCAGTATCCAGAGACATTCAAGAGCGTGCGGTCTCAAGCTAGCCATTTGCCATGTGACCAACCCCTTCATCTAAAGCACAAAGTCTTCCTTGACCTCTGGCACTGAGAGGGGCTGGCTGGACCACATGTTGCTCGGTGTCTATTTCTGTTGACTTGCATGTGAGTTTTCCCCTGATAATGTCATTAGAAGGCACATCCCGGGTGTGGGTATTGGCCATGTACTGTTCTACCTCAGTTGGTCTCTCCTCCTTTTGGTCAAACTCCATTTGTGTTCTTTGCTCACATGACAGGGAGAAGTAAGCATTCGACAGTCTCCTTATTTTGAGAGTCCCTCCACAGGTTTGGTGACTTGTGTGTATAATTTATTGGCTTCACACACTCCATTCCAGCTAAGCAGCCCTGACACTTCTCTGTCTCCTAAACTCTAGGTTTCTCCTCCAAATCCCCACTCAGATCCTTGCTGCTCACGCCACAGTGGGTGGGTGTGGTGGTACCCCAAAGCTGTTGCTGTAATCTCACAATTTCTTTGATGTCCCCACTCTAGCTTAAAAATCCACACAGATTTTATAGTCTTCTACCATATACAATATGTTTATCTCATAAAAACAATGCCTTGGGGGCTGGCCCTGTGGCCGAGTAGTTAAAGTTCCCCGAATTCCACTTCAGCGGCCCGGGGTTCATGGGTTCAGATCCCAGGTGTGGACCTACTCCACTCAGTGGCCATGCTGTGGCAGTGTCCCACATACAAAATAGAGGAAGACTGGCACAGATGCTAGCTCAGGGCGAATCTTCCTTGCCAAAAAAAAAAGCGCCTTAAGTCATTATATAATCATATCTGTGTGTGTCTCATACAGATAATGTCTTGAGTCACTTTCCAGCTAATATAACACGCCCTTCCCATCTTAAAGGAAAACTGACATGCCAGGAAGACGTGTCAAGTTTACCTGTGGCTTCATCCTCCCCTTCACACAATCTCAAACCTTTAGGGGGAACAGAAGGCCCAGTTTGAAAAGTAAAACATTTGATTGTTAGCATTCAAAAATTTGACATTTATGGGTCTGACTTTTCTCAAAGGACCCTCAAGTTTCGTGATGCATAGAATTCTTTACTTTTACTGAATTAGAGTAGTAGGCGTAAGTTTCTGGGACAGTGGTTGGAAGTAAGTCCCCAAGATAGGGAAGGGAGTTGGCCAGCAGCCCTGAGTGCACATTTCAACTTGCTTTTCTTATTCTCTGGTTGTGGGTTCTCAGTTGTTGGGCAAGGACACTCAAGAAGGTCAAAGGCCTCCGAGCCCTCCCTCCCACCCCAGCACCTCCTAAATACCTTGAAGCTGAGCCGTTTGGCTTGTACTCCAGTGCCATCAGTAGATTCCTGTCACCCCTCTGTTCAAACCTGCAATGACTCCCCAGCACACAGAATGGAATCCAAACTCTCCACCACGGCCCACAAGACCCTGCGTGCTCTGGCCCCTGCTCCCTCTCTGACCACACGGTCCTCTCTGCCCGCCGTCCTCAGAGCTGCCTGGCACACCGGCAGAACGATGGCCTGCAGCCCGGCTCTGGCTGGCCGTCTTTCCCTCACCTCAGTCAGGGCACTCGCAAACGCGCTCCTCAGACGCATCCTCCCCAACTGCCGTCTCAGAACAAAGGCAGCCCCAGCACCTGGCAGCCTCTTGCTCTGCTTGCTTTCCTATAGTGCTTGTCACTCTGACTTCAGATAAAGTGTTTTTTTGTTTACTGTTGGCCTCCCCGACTCAGCAGGTAAGCACCCTGGGGGCAGAAATCTCGTCTCTGCTGCAGAGACGTTCGGTGACTATGTGCCACGGGAAGTTCCATTTAAGCAGGACTGGACCCTGTCGGCCACGCTGCCAAAGGCTTCCACGCCAAAAGCAAGCGCAACGCGGAGACCCCCGGCTCAGAACCAACCTGAGGCATTGAAGCAATAGGTGTCGTACTGAGAGGTGTTGGACGTGAGGATGTACACGCCCGTGTTGTTGGCGGCACAGATGGAGTTGGGGTGGATCCGGGGGATGACCACGTGCCCTTCTATGAACCCGTACCTGCAAAAGAAAACCTAGAGGTTACCCCCCACAAGGCCGTGACAGGGATTTCATCACACCCCATGGAGTGACGTCCCACACGGTGCAACACCCCATTCAGTTCACCCCCAGGATGCTAGAGGTTCGACCACTGGATTATGCGACATCCCAAAACAACAGCAGACGGAGAGGGGAAGGGATCTGCAAGGCTGACAGGGACAAAGTCATTTTATTTAGGGCTCTACAAGGAGCTTTTTTTTTTTTTTTTTTTAAAAAAGGCTCATGAAAGAAAAAATTTGTTTCAAATAAAATCTGTGATCAGCAGTGTCAAGTGAATCTGCACAAGCAGACGGCAGCCCGAGTCAGGAAGCGAGAAGAATGAGCACCTGATAATGGGAGATTCCCTCTGGCTCCCCATTACCTTCGTGTTTTTCAGAAAATGCATAAAGCCACCAGCTCCCATAAGCCAGGGCCAGGCGGTTCTTGGTTATAGTCCGCAAATGTCAAACCCTCCTGATTTCTCACCGCTGCCCTTCTCTCCTGGTCTCATCTTTCCCGGTGATGCCCTTACTCCAGACTCCATTACTCTAAGCACGAAGCCTTGTTTATATGCCAGAGACAAGCACATTTTGCCTCCTGAGCATCCCAGGCATAATTCCATTGCCAGTGGAAGTCAAGTGACTGTCACTAAAATGGGAGTAATAGTGATTAAATGAACAGATAGCGACGCAACATTAGACAAAATGCGAAAGTAGACAACAGACAACACCCAGCCCTTTTTGTCAGCATCACAGTGGCCAAATTCTTACTCACTGCACAATTTCTCCTGAATAGAAAATGCCTCAAAAAATTAGATGTGGGCTGAGGAAATACCATTTGCAAGGGAAGGGCTGGTGGCAGAGGCAGGGCGGAGAGGGAGACCGTAAATCCAGTGAGCGTTTGAAAATGCAGCGTTGGCTGAATGCACAGCGTGGACCCTTCAGTCTCTCCTGCCTGGGGCCACAGTACCCAGTGCAGCATCGCCCTGCGGGATCCACAGACATGGCTGTGAGTTTGAAATCTCTGAGCACATAGAAGTTATCAGGTCTCTGTTGCAATTGCAGCTCCTATGACTAACTCTTCGTCTGCATGGAGAGACTGGTTTCTCCAGAGGCTCCTTAGCTTGTTGGGGGTGGGAGGGATGCAATTAAATGTTAATAAGTTTCCATATAGCTGAGAAGTGCTACTAATCTGGGTGGGGCAGACAGAAGAGCGCAGCTGCTAAGGCTCTGACAGCCTCTGATACCGCCCTCCATCCTGGGCAGATATCGGATCCATGGCCACCGGAGGGAAATGACGGAAAGGAGTTTTGCAACACTGAAAACCAGCTATGGGTGGAACGATAGATTTCTCTGGCACAGTTTTTCTTTTTTCTTCTTTTTAAATAATAATACTCCCTGGTGAGCCTACACCTCACCCCACCCCCATCACACTCGGCAAGTCTATATATCGACATCTTAGAATCCACATTCCTTTTGTAAGTTATTCTCAGTTTTGCCACATTGTGTGGGCCGCCACATTTATGTGTTGCGCCGTACATGAGTTGAGGCTACTAAAATTTATCAGCGTGCATATTGCACGAGTAGGTTGCTCTTCCAGGAGGAAAGAACTACTAGGCAAATGCACGTGGCACACTTCCACCTCCTGTTTGCTCTCAGTCCTTCTGGAGAGCTTGGTCATTAAAATCTTGCCCTGGGATCAGATGAAACAGCGCAGACTGTGGACTCCTCCCTGTGCAAGTAACGTGGCCCCGGGGCGAGCTGCAGGACCTCTCCAAGCCGCAGTTGCTTCATCCGTCAGCGGAGTGATGCAGTCGACCCAGGTCTGAGGAGGAAGTGGGGGCTACGGGCCAGTGGGCAGCAGGGCCCCCAGCACTCAGTGCTCACTGATCAGCCATGGGGAGTGGGAAGAACCTGCCTTCTTTGCAGCATATGAGAACATCTGTGTATTTCAGAAGCATGACGTACCTGCCTTTCACAATAAAAATCCAGCTTGCTAAATCCACTTTCTAGGCTGCTGGCCTGGTCAGGGCTGTATTTAAACACCTTGCCTTGGGAAGAGAATGAATGGGTCTGCTGACTGGCCTTCCTTCACCGCAGCCTGCAGGTCTGGCTCCATACCTACCAGAGCTCTCTGCCTTTGCCTGCTGTTTTCCTACTCTCCCAGGCTGCGTCTGGACACACAGAGGGCTGCGTCCATCCGCTCTTAGTTCCAGAGCAGTGCTTCTCAATGGAACTTTCTGTGATAATGGAAATGTTCTGTAATCCATGTTGTCCAATACAGTAGCCATTTGTGGCTAATGGAGCACTTGAAATGTAGCTAGTGCCCCTGAAGAACTGAAGTTTTAATTTTATTTAATTTTGACTAAGTGTAAATCGCCACCTGTGGCTGGTGGCTACCACATGCGACAGTGCAATTTTAGAGTAAGATTTTCCCTCTTTCCAGCAAGCGTCCGCCACCACTCACCATGTGGGTGCCTTGTCCCGTAACCAAGGCCAGGGGAGAGATATGCTGACCTTACACGCAGTGGTTTCCTTGAAGAGTTCTGCAGCTCCACTTTGAGAAAGCGGTCCGTGTTTGTGTGCAGGTGTGTGGAAGAGAAGCGGAACCACGGTGCCTGACGACACAGCATGGCGAGAGCACAGAGGAGGGCAGCAGACTGGGGTGGTCACTGCAGGGCGGTCCTTCAGACCACCCAGAGCCCTTCTAATGAAAATAAACCAAGCCTAGACCCTCCACCGCGGGCCTCACTGCCCCACGGCGCTGGCTCTTAATGTGCACCACCGGCCACAGGGTGTCGGGAATTTAAAGAAAAGGCTGCTGTCTGCTGTGATTGTCCTGGAGCAGAAGGACTGCCGAGGGCTCCACAGAGCACTGCGACATCAGGTAAGAGGCAGCTGAGGAGGCCTTCCTCGCTCCCTCCGATTGCTTCCCAGTCACTTGTAATAATATACTTTAACAACTTTCATGGTCTTTTATTTACCCTCCCAAACCACAGCAATATAGAAGAGAAATAAAAGAGAGAGCGAGTTGTTTGAAAAATCTGCTTTGAGCCGAGTCTGCAGGGCCAAGACTCCAGCAGGCACATATTTATTGGAAACACTGTCATTTGGTTTCCATCCTCCTGTGGTTCCCAGGACGCTACTGCACGCTTCTTCAGAGCTGGAGAGCGCTGGGGAGCCTTTCAGGCAAGAGGAGGGTTCCAACCGATGGCCCTTAGTGGCCTCCTCTGGGCAACCCCGCCATGACTCACAAAGGTGTCTTTAGCTGGCTTTAAATTCCAGCTGTCACAGGGGTTCCAGATTGCCTCGGCCAAATTAATAGCTGGGGCCGACCATCCAGGCAGCCACCCCCTCTGCTGTCGGGGAGCAGCCTTCCCAATGCCAAGCCCCACCTGCTAGACCAGGCAGCCAGTTTTCTGCAGCGGGTGCTGGCTCTTACCTGCAGGTCTCAAAGCCAATGTTCAGCGCTTTCTGCATCTGGGCCATGGTGGGCAGGGTGCTGTTGAAAGCCTTGCACAGGTCCGCGGCCTCCGTCCGCGAGATGCTGTAGCGGCCATTTTTCTCCACATGGAATACCCCTGCGTATCGGCAGGTTATGTTCAAATCTACGGGATGAAGCAGAAGTGTTAGAGTCTTTCACATAAGTAATTCGCGAAGGGTAAGAAGTTTGTTTTAGGGTAGGTTCATTAAAAAGACTCATTAAAAAATGTCTCTACTGGCCAGAGCCTTCAACAGTCACGCCAGCATTTCAAAGCCCCACTACAGCCGGCTGGAATCTGAGATCAGACTGAATACACAGCGTCAGGCTGACGTGTTCTCCACCAATGGTCCACGACAAGTTTCTAAAAAGTATAGGATTTATTTCTGATTATCCAAGTAATACAGACTTGTGGAAAACTGACAAAATTCAGGGAAGAAGCGAAGGGAAAGTAAGTTCACCACTAAGAAAGCTATTGTAAACCTTTTTAATTAAATGTTTTGCCATATCTTCTTTCAGTTTGTGTTCTGAATGTGTGTGTGTGTGTGTACACACGCTTACATAGTTAAAATGGTCCTGAAAATACAGTTTTAGATTTGGGAGCCTTTTTTCCACTCAATCTTACATTACGAGCATTTCCCCACAATCCCCTGGTGTTGCTCCCGCGCACATGACTTTCAGCGGCTTCTGGCTACACCCGGAATAGCTTCCTTAACGTGGCTGATGAGACCTGCGTGATCTGGCTCCTGTCCCCTTCTCTAACCTTTACGTAGCTCACTCTGCACCAGGCAGCAAGCTTTCCCTCCGTTCCTTTGGAACTGAGCTCCTGCCGGCCTTCAAACGTTTGTGTCTGCCCTCCCCTCTGTCTAGAATGTTCCATCCTCAGATCACCACAGTTTCGTCTTTCAACTGCTCATCACCTCATCTTACAGTCCTTTCCTGAACACTCTCAGTCCAACAGAAAGCATCTCCCTCATCTCACGCTGCTTCTGTGTCTTCACAGGAACTTGTTCATTTATTTGTACATTTAGTTATTAACCATTTGCCCTTTCTGTGATGGAAGCTCCAGAAAAGCAAGAGTCTTTGGCTCATTTGCAGCTATTTCTCTAGCCCTCACAACAGCGGCTGACGGAGAGTAGATGCTCAACAAATATTTGTTGAATGAATACATGACTCTGAAATTTCCTCAAAATCACACTTTCAACATATTGACAGATAGATCCAAGACCCTCAAAATTTGTTCCCCCAAATTTAATGGCATTCAAAATGAAGCCCAAATACTATCAACTGGTTAAAGAATGATTTAATCCAAGAACATGTGAGTTTCACAGACATTAATCTGAAATCTCAGGAAGGAGCTGAAAAATCATCTGGTTCTACTGATTCTGTGTGACAATCTCAAAAGACGTCACAGACCTTAACTGAAAGCTCATTATTCTTCTGGGACTATATCATCTCCGGTTTGCACCGGAGGAAACCAACACAGAAAGGTTGAGTCATTGAAACTGTCCTGGTGAAGCAGGATTCCTCCTGAGCTCTTCCAGGAGCCTCAAAGCCCATCCTTCTCCACGGAAGCTTACTGACACTTACTCTGGGCCCACGACGTGGCAGCCCACGTGCCAGGCCAGGCGCCGCTCTGTTAGTTATGAACCAGGCCTGCATTCAGACAGAATTGGCTTTCACTCAGACCCTGTCTGTCACTCGTGCAGGTCCAGACGTAGCCAGGAAGATTCTGCTTATTTATCACTGAGAAAACTGAGGCTGAGAGAAGTGAGTTGCCCAAGGAAGCGAGAATTTCTGTCCAGAGCCTGTGGTTGCCTTCCTGAATCCCAGGTGCTTTGTTCCACATTTCGGAGTTGACAGCAATGGAGCGGAGGGGGAAGGCCGTTTCCTGCAGGTCCCTGGGAACCAGCACCTTTGGGTTGTGTTGCATCATCTCCCAAGAACCCTGAGAGGTGAGTTCTATGTATGTATGCATGGATTATTTATAGGTGAAAAAACTGAAGCTCAGAAAGACTGAACGCCTTCCCAAAGTTGCCCAGCTATTAAGTGGCAGAGTGGAATTCCATCTCAGGTCTGTTTAACACCAACATCCGTGCTCCAAACCACTTTGCTGTGTGCTCTAGGATCCTCTCAAGTCATTAGAGCTAGTCTTCGCTCTCAAGGAGAGAGATAAACCTAAACACCTCTCACCTAAAGACAAAGATAGGGGCAGTATCACTGAGCTGTACACGCAACACTGCTTTCTCCTTTGTGAGCAGGAAGCAGGTTCCAACCACAAGAAAACAGGGTCTCGCAAACGCCAGATGAGACGATAAGAGAACTGTTAAACTCCTGTAGGGTCTTTCTTGACTGAAAATAGTAAAAGAAGAAACAAGAAATGGAGCTTTGAAAAGATATAAGCCAATATCAATTGGTTTCCTTTTCTTTTCTTTGCATCATTCTCATGTGGTTGTTTTGCATCAGAACTAGGTGAAATAGACAAAATGTGTTTTTGTGTGATCAGTTCATTTTGGAGCCTAATGGTGTCCTTCTGAAGCCACTAATACAACACTTGGCTGATGAAGCAAGAGGAGCAGAGAGGAGAAAGACTCAAAAGGCTCTTCTGAAACGCTGTTTGTTTTTACTGACATTTGTTCAGCTTTGGCCTCGCTTGGCCAATCTTAGCAAAGGGAAGTTGTTTCACTGGGTGACAGCCCTTCTGGGAGCTCTCCCTGTCTGGCGTACAAAAGACAAACACGGCTTCCCAATCAGCTTCTTGGAGGGGAGGCTGATGGGAGGGACCTGAGCGGGTGCCAGGAGAGGCGAACTGCCTGCCAGCACTGGGCCAGGTAGCTGCTGTCACTCCAGGTTAAAATAAAGTCTGAGGCCTGGACGGTGGTTTGGAGCTGACTGGCAGTTTCTGTCTTACTAAAATTAATTCTAGCTTGTCACCTGGCACGCAGAATATGCAAACGCAAAAGGAACCAACTCAGACTGAGAATTTGCATAAAATTCCTTGAGTTCCGTGTGCAGCAGCCAATGTAACTTTGTAGGCAATACATGCGTGTGTTGCGTGAGTGTGTCCTCATGTATGTGTGCAAGTAGTGAGTGCGTGGTTGCGTGTGCTTGTGGTCAGCCAAGAGAGGAGGAAGCAGATAGCTTCAAGCTTCACCCTTCCTAGACTGCGAGCCTTCCAGAGGGCCTGACAGATAGGAGGGATCAGCAAAGGGCTGAGGAATGGATGAAGTTCTGAGCCACCTGAAAATTCCAGTTTACATTTATCTTAATCTCATAAAAAAGGTCCCACTCCTAACTCCTAACTCCTGACGGCATCTGGCTATCTAAGAATTGCAAAGACGGTGCCAAAAACCTCCTTTCAGGTCAACTATCGCACAAGTGTGCACCGTCCTCTCCTCCGAGCCCCTCTTGCCTTAAGAGGAATCAAGACTCCAGGGCTGTACATTCTTTAAGTCCTGATAATTTATGGAGACTTTCCAACAGGGCTCCTTAACACTTCAAACCAAAATTATTACCCCAAAGGGTATTAATAATACTAACGGCCACACGAGTAGCTAATACATATTGTGCACTTATTCTGTGTATGCCAGGCCCCCTTCTAAGCACTTTACAACAACCCTAGGAGGTAGGTAATATTATTATCCCCACTTTCCAGATACAGAAACTGAGGCACAGGGAGGGGAAGAAACCTGTCTAGGTTCACAGAGCCGGTAATGGTGGAGCTGGGATCAAACCCAGCCAGTCTGGGCACCACAAGTCCACAGGCTCAGCCACTAGGCTACTACCCCTAGTCCTGATTTAAGTAAGTTTATGACCTCTCAACCTCCCCAACATACAGCTGAGAGCATTCCCAAGGTTCAGGTAAAGTTAGCATAAGGCTGGGGCTTGAGTAGCCATGGACTACAGGTCACTGGGTAGGGCACCAGCATCTACGACAATGGCACTGGCCACGCTGCCAACCCTGGAGAGAGGCAGGACTCCCCAGACGTCTGGACATCTCTCCTGAGAAACAGAGGCCTCTGTGGTTCAGGGTCTGCTGTAACTCAAGAGGCTAATATTAAATCGCCAATTGCATCTCTCAAACAAGCCTTTCCAACTGGAAATAAATCAAGAATGTTTTCTGTTGAGCCCTCTGGTCTCCAATAAATCTCCTGTATCATGTAATAAACTGTCCTGAGTCCCTCCCTCTGAGAGACCCAATGGGCAACATTAACTGTTTGAGGCCAATTTTAGATGCAGGGAGGAGCTTGGAGGGAGAAATGCGCCGCCCCCCCCCCCCCCCAGCAGTTAGGGGGCTAGTTACTACAGAGTTGCCAGGAGGACAGAGGGCGTACGGGGCCCAGCACCCAGGGATCTCGTCACCCACATGGCAAGAGGTCTGCCGGTGAAGATCAGCAAAAGGAGCTCTCCAAGAGGGTGTCTTTACTATCTAACTATTGTCTGGCACTCAACTCGCGTGAAGGTTGGTAGTGCAGCTTAGTTTGGACCAACTCAAATCCGGGTTCAAATCCTGACACTGCCGCTCCCTCCAGGTTACACAGTTAATTAGTCCCTTAACCTCTCTGACGCTCAGCCTTCTCAGTGGGATGACAACACCAACCTGTCAAGGGTTTGTGGGACTGTTAAATGAGATGAGGTATGTCAAACACTTGACATGGTGTCTGACACTTATTTAGAGCCAATGGGGATTGCAAACTTATGAGTTGGCTTGTATGCTTCAGAAAATTTCATTTTCACAAAAATGCTGTGAAGTAGGCACTATTGCCAAACCCATTTTAGAGACAAGGAAACTGAGGCACAAAGAGGTGTAGTAGCTTGCCCAGAGTCAGGGCTCTCATCTCTGTGCTATGCTGCCAGTTATGCAGGGTTCTGAGCAAATTCTTACTTGGATAAACCACAGCTGACCCATAACACTGTTAATCTTGCCTATATTTTCCACTAAGGCTCGGATCAAGGAAAACAGGTCTCTCTAGCAAAATCGCCCCAGCACATTTCAAAACTTCACCTAGATTGTAGAGCCTGAGACGAACGGTCATTTCCCAAGTGGTAGGAAATCCCAACAACATCCGCTGGGAGTAGAGCACCGTATAATTTTTACCCAACTTGCTGTTATCTCCATCTTCCCAC